AGTTAAAAGAAAGAAAAGAAGTTAAAAGAAAGAAAAGAAGTTAAAAGAAAGAACAAAACATAACAGAGAAAAAAAAATAGGGAGAAAGATTATAATTTTATCCTTTAAGGCAGAAGATTGACTAACTTGTTACAGATGCATTTAGCAAGTAAATCCAAATTATTTAATGAAATCATGAAAAAGAAAATTTCACCTTTTGGGCTTCCATAGAATCTTGCAGTTTGATTTTGCGCATTGAAGAGCATTCTTTAAGTTGTTGCAATTTCTGAAGAAGGTCATTGATGCGCAACTCAACTTTAGCAGCTTCAAAATGATTGCTTTTCACCATATCTTGGGCTGATGTGGCAACTGTTTCAATCAACGGCTCATGAGCAGTTATCTCAGATTCTATGGCCTGCAAAGTTAAACAAATACAGACAATAATAAACAGTTCAAGAATGTTTCAATCTTTCAGTATCTTCAGGTGATTTCGACCAATTGATTTCCTAACACTATTTTTTTTTTAAAATAAAATTTTTTATGAATGCTATATTTTAAAAAAATAAATAAATGAATAAGCACAGCATGAGGTGCAATAGAAGGTGAAGAGGAGAGAAAAACCAAGTGTGTCGGAAATATATTGGTTGCGGATAAAATGAAATATACATGTGTTCATTTTATCCCACTTCAAAAGGAATTTTTTTTTTTTTTTACTAACTTTTTTTTGATCATCAAACGAAATTTGATGATAGCAGAAGCATGAAACTTAGGGTTACAAACTCATATATATATATATATATATATATATATATATATATATATATATATATACACTTCATGCGTTTAGCAAAGGTAGAAACACTAAGAGCCACAATGGATAAGAAGTTTTCCTGAAGGGACAGGATACATAGAAGTATCCATTATACCTCTAGTGGACCATATTTAAAGATATTTTTTATTATACCAGATGAGCATTAATTTTTTTCCACATAATATTATATATATATATCAATTGGGCAGCTCAAGGTGGTGTAATGATTAGCCAGCTTGTCTTGCTAGAACAATTACGACTGAGTAGTGAGTTTGTTCCTCACTGGGTGCTCCGTACTTCCAGCCTTGTGCCACATCTGAGGTACGATTGGAAAATCACTATATATCTCAATACAAATAATTCCACTTGCATGGTTAAAGTCTTAAAATATGTTCTATTGGCATAATAGCCTACCAGAACTTGTACCTGGTGTAAATCAATAGTACTTTAGTTCTTTCCTGGGGTGCGAATGCATGATACATGTTTGGCCAATCATGTCTTTTCGATTCATAATTGAATTGGAAGAATTGTCAGTAGGCTGCCATTATTGTCTGCAGTAGACTGGTTGTCAATCAAGACTCTAGGACCCAGTCTGTTATTTAACCCATAGCTATGAGGAGGAAGAGATGGATTCATATCTTTCCCAAAGGTATTTGCATATAAGTAAGTGTAGCAAACTGCCCTAGAATTTGAACTTGGTTCTCAGATTTCTCATTCCAAGTTATTATCCAAACTTACAACACCTTTTGTTCCCAAGTAGTCACCCATCTAGGTACTGACCAGGCTTGCAATTGCTGAGCTTAACTGTAAATAATTAGTGAGATCTTATATGCCATGAAACATATGATATTATGTAAAGCTTTCATAACCTCTCTTTACACATGGTTAATAATTGAGACAGTGGAAAAATTTTTATTGACATGTTTCACCATCTTCAAAGTAGTTAGGTAGGTGATGTAATGGAATAACCCGTCACCCCCATGAGTGACTAGACTATAGGTAGTAACTACCTATAAGTATCTGTAAGTCAATGGACTACAGGGTCTAGCTGGGATCTGTTGAGTACTACTTGGACTTACACCAGAACTATCGACCTTCCAATGGTAGCACTCACTACTGGATTGACTTGTGATGACCTGGTGCATAATTGTTACCTTTATTCTTATTGTAATGTTTTTTTTTTTACAATAAACCTTTACTTATTTTATCCACCATGTTTGTCAAGTATATATTCCTATTAGCACAAAATATAACAGTAGGTGTCTTCAGGTCAGAATGAATATTTCTGCAAGTTTATCTATTGAATATATTTTGATAAATGTTACAACAAAGAAATAATTGATCAGGAATCTTTCATAACATACCTGGTATTTTTTGAAGAGGTTCTGGACTTCCTGAAGAGAATTTCCTAAGTCTTTAGATTCAACAACTGGTTTCTTCTCATTGATCCAGTTCAGTTCATCATCAACATCACGATAAAAACGGTAGAGAGAGAGGGTGTCATTTAGGTTCTCATCTCTGATATTAAAGGGTTCAATCAAGGATTCGTACCTGCAAGTTCAAACCAAATATTGTTTTTAAATTACAATGAAATTAATTTAAAATGAAAAAAAAACAAAACAATTAAAACCTTTAAAAACATGTCAGTATTCAGAGGTTAACTTCAAAGTCATATATTGACATTGCTTGTAATATCTTTAACGAAAATCATGTCAGTCTATAGTATTCTCTGCATCCTTCTGTAGAGCCACATTTGTTGCTTCAGGTCTCTTCTGTGAGAAGATTGTCCAGCATTCACTGCTATATAGGAGGACTGATATTATGTAACAGTGTAGTATTCTTTTCTTTGTTTATGAATTTTTCCAATTTCTTAATATTTTGCTTAGCTTTTGTAAGGCATCTTTCACTATCCAAAAGTATCTTTAAATTTCAGTGTTGCAGCATAAATTCATGCACAACGTGAAAACGTTAGTCTTAATGAGAGATTGAATCTATATTTTTACTGTATTTTCTTGTGCATAATGCAACACTGAAACTAATGCAACACTAAAAAACTAAAAGCTGGGAAGAAATTACATAAGAATAATACAGCCATACCTCTGTTAATTTTTAAAATATGTTATACATTATTATCCATTAAAACCTCAATGTTGTACATATATTTCAATAAAATATTTAATTTTTAATGATATTAAAAAATTACAAATAAATCTGATGTTTAGCCATTGCATGTTTCTTCTAATTTCTGTTTCAAAACTCATTTTTCTGAGAAGGCACTTTGTTGTAACAATGTTATCAAAACCTGGAGTTTGTGTATTCCCTTGATTATTATTTATTTATTATTTTTTTTTTTGTAAATTTTCTGTCTTTGAGACAAAAGATTTTAATTACACCAATTCCCAAAACACAAATATTGCTGACATATCAAATATCTTTTGTATATAATTGTTATTATCAATATTTGCCTACTTTGTGTTTTATCTACTGTGGTAACCGAGTCTATTTGCAATCTTGCCATTTTAAATAGGGGATATTTTTTGTAAGCTGTGTAAAAATTTCTTAAAACCTACTTGTGTATAATTTGGATCGATGTTGGATTTAACGGCATGTCAACTCCTATTTGGGTCAATTTATGCCGAAGGTATAATTTGGTTGCTTCAACATGGTGTATTGTTTAGCAAACCTGTTTCACTAGATCAATTATGACAGAGTAGCAAGTTTGAACTTCATACTGTCAGTCTTGTGCCACATCTTAGCTACACTTACAAAATCATTTGGGTACTTCAACATGGTGTAATGGTTAGTAAGTTCGGCTCACTAGATCAATTATTACTGAATAGTGAGTTCCATCCCTAAAGGGTGCCCCATATAAGAAATTTTGAAAGAAAATGTAGGTCAAAAAAGGGTGGGTTGGTTGTATTATATGAAAATACAGTATGTCATTTAGAAGATGACAAAATCTTTATTGATGTAAGAGGAAAAAAAACAAAAAAAAACAAGGCATATTTCTATCTCAAACTCAATGAAGAGGTTTATGGCTGGAGAAAAATCTCATGTGCCAAAGCAAATCACACTATGGGAGTTTGCCAAAAGCAAAAACCAGTATTCAAAATACTTATAGCAAAAGAATTTTTTTCCCTTTTAGATTTCCACAAACTATTTTTTCCATTTATTTATTCATTATCTGCAATCTACTCCAATTCCTTGGAAAATGAACGAGTGGTTTTCTATTGATGTCTTTGAGTTTGGAATTCAGTTTTCCTTTCTCTTAGACTGGTTGTTATAAAATGCTTGAGAGTCCAGTCTACTGTTATATCCATAGATACAATCAAAGAAAGAATTGTACCAAATAACAGAAACCACATCACTTGAGGACTTTCAACAACAGTAACAACTAAAATGGATATCTCATGTTGATATTCCACACAACTTCAAACAAAAGGTTAGGATGTAAACCACCATCAATACTGGAAACTACAATAGTTACTGGATTTGAGAAAGCTATTTTTCTGAAAAATTGTTTTAAGAGAAAGATTTTACAAATTTCAACTGTCAGTGAATGCCAAATATTTCCTTATAAGAAAATTGCTAATATTTGTCTTATTTCCTCAGCAACAATTCCCCTTACCCAACAAAATAAGCTGATTTGTAAATTCAGATACCAATCATTCATTACATTTTCCTGATTACCAAGCATAGGAGTAACATTACACAAGAATATTTTGTGACAGTATAATGTTAATTTTGTGAATGAATTTGTAACAGTATAATTTCAAAGAAACTGTATTCTAAGAGAAACCGATCTACAATAGACCCAATATGTTTTGTGCTCACCCCAGATGATACCAAAATAGACTTTGCACTGTGTTACACCAAAGTATCATACAAACCAGGTGAATCAGCAGGTCAATCTCGAAGATGACCTAGCCATCAGACAAAGATCTTGAGCACATAATGTCAATGATAGCTTCATTACCCCCAACTCACATTTGCCACCACTCCTATCCACACCCAACCCTACTCCATAAGTGTTAATTATTATACAAAAATTAACCAATGTATAAACAAGTCGTTGACCCAGCTGCACTTGGGATGTGTGCATGTGTGACAACAAATGACATGAAAATATATAAGCAAGAGGAATAAGTAAAGAATCTTGTAAGAATCCATGTTTGGAGAAAACCCCAAAATCCACACACTGATACTAATTGAAATCTGGAGTTGAATAAACACTAGTTTTATGTAAGTGAAATTTAGTCATGTGTCCTTATTAGTCTGTTCAATGTTATCTTTACAACTGTAGCTATGCTTATAGCTATGGAAAAGTGGTCATATTGCTAATATTTTCTTGTTCCCTACTAATTTTGAAAATACTAGTCACTTACCGGTCAGCTGTTTCTTGTGTTCTCTGCAGAAGTTCCTTACCCATAAAATGTTTCTCCTCATTGAGTCGTCTTGTATGTTCCACAAGATCATTTATTTTTTCACTATGGTTGTTATAATCTTGTTTCAAACGCTGTTGGAAAAAAAAAACAAAAGCAAAAAGACATTAAATTTCTCTAATTGTGAATTGGTTGATAGACAAATAAGTTTAAGGATATCTTGTTGACTTTTAGCATATAACTTCACACAGAGGGTATGATAGGTAAATTGTCACCATTTTATATTTTTAATTTTGCATGTATGTGGATTGTTTTTGTTGACTGGACTATATAGTAGGGTTAGTTGGGCACCGTCTGTGAAAAAGAGCATCATGATGCAACTTACTCTGCTAGAAATTTGAAAACTGCATGCTGTACTACTTAGCATTTGCATCAGAAGCTCCAATATGAACATTTGAGTTTTGGGGTTTCAATCTGAGGACAGTGCAGAGGATTCAGGAGTTGGAGGAGTCTAATGGTGATTATAAAGGTGTTTGGAGTGATCACTAGTGACGGTGAGGTTATGTCTCCATCTCCCCATAGAGCATCACTCAATCATCATCCTGCGGCCTCAGACGAGATTAAACTCACTACACCTCCAGTATTCCCTATCCGTCATAGCTCCTAAAAGACCTTCCTTAGGGATCAATGTATCTCGTTTTATCCTATCTGGAAAGGTTAACTTGCGTGATCGATTGTCAGATGATGAGTGTCTCCATCATCTGACAATCGATCACTCAATACTGAGGCTTAGAAGTAGTAATGCCCTGGTTTAAGAGGATGGCTGCTGGAAGATCCTATGTTTGTCAACAGGACACTGCACTATGCCACACAACCAGGAGAATCCAGTCATGGCTGGGAAAATTTCTGCAACCACATCAACCCATACATCAGGCAACCTACCCACCCTCAGACTGCAGCTGCCTTGATTATATTTGGTTCACAGTTGAGCAAGAGACCAACAAAATGCGTTATATCATCAGAGATGAACTAATGGCAAGGATTGTGGTAGCATTCTCAATTTAACCAAGGAGACCATCCAGAAGAGATGCAGGAGATTCTGAAGTCATCTGGAAGTCATGGCTGAAGCCAATGGCAATTTCACTGAATAAATTTACTCTTTAGTATTGAAAGATATTTTTTGTGTAATTTTGGTAAATATATCTGTTAAAATGTCAGTGTTATTTTCATTTTTGCATAATTTAGACAATTTATCCATTGCACCCTGAATATACATGTTCCATTTCAGCAGTAATATTAGGTTGGTGCAAAAATAATGACATAATAATGTCGTTTTTAAGTTATTTTTTAAAGTCAAAAAACAACATTATTACGTCATTATTTTTGCACCAAACTAATAATTCTCTCTAACATGTTTGGTTAAATAATATGGACAAGTTCTGGATATCGTTTTATTTAGGTGTGTTGTGTTTATCAATCAACTTGTCAAAGTTCATTTTTATTTTATATTATTAGGTTGGTGCAAAAAATATGACGTAAGAATGTCGTTTTTTGACATTAAAAAATACGTCAAAAAACGACATTATTACGCCATTATTTTTGCACCAACCTAATATTTTCTTCCTGAGTACTTTCAAACGTTGCAGGAGATTTCCCAAGGGTATTTGCATATAAGTGAATATAACAAACCTGATTTTAATTGGTAATCAGCTCTCTAACAATTTTGAGTCAGTATCCATTACAACACCCAAACATCAAACCTGATATTCCCAGTTGCTTAACTTTAGTGATTATATGGTAATTGGTGTTACAATATTATGCTGATTCCACAACCCACATGTCCAAGCTTACAGCACCTGGTATTCCCAAGCAATCATCCATCTAGGCACTGACTAGGCTTGACATTGAAACACCAATTCCCGTATAATCAATATGATGTCACCGTAAGCTCCTGCAATAAGGATGAGCTAGCAACCTTAGGATACTCCATAGTTTCCAGAGATTGATGAATCCATATTTATGATAAATACTAACCAACAATGTTTAATACAGAGGAAAGGAAGAAAATCACATTTTTTTCTATAAATAGCAAAAAAAAAAAAAAAAAAAAATTACCTGGTTCTTTTTAATTAGCAATGTGACAGCAGCCAAGTCTTTTCCATGGTCTTCTGATGTCAACTGGTTTTCAACCTCATCCATCCAAGCATGGAGGTCGTCCAAGTCTCTGTTCACATTTACTGCCTAGAATAAGATAACATTTATCAACAGTAAGAATTCAACTGAAACTCACTAATTGAGACAGATTTCTATTTTTGTATCCAACATGCAAACAAAATTTATGTAATCAATAATTTTTTTAATTCAACAATATCTTGTATTACTACGAACATTATTTTAGTGAGTACACGTTAAAGTAGGCATCCAATTTATTCACAAAGTTAAATTAACATCTATCAGCCTAGATTATTCAAAGTCTTCATAATGAAAATGTACTTGATAGGAATCAAACCTGTATTCCATTCCTGTAAGAGGTATATTTGCTGTAATTTTTTTTTTTAATAATTTCCTCCCAAGCAAGGCAACAAAGCCATTTAAGTTATTGACATTTGGAAAAACATTCATGAAAGTATGTTTCAAAAATAATATCCAACAATGCATTTTATCTCTATGGCTTCTTCAGATGGATAATGAAAAATATGTTAAGTGAAATGCATTATCGAATATTATTTTTGAAACATACTATCATGAATGTTTTTCCAAATGTCAATAACTGTTGGTATTATATACACAAATTTATTGCATACATTTTTTTTTCTTAGGGATAAAGTATGACAAAGTGGAAGAAAATTTTGTGATATGTTTTGTCCTTTAGAACTACAAAGTGAATTGATGTGACTACACATAAGCATGAAAGAAAGCGGATACTTAGAATTAAAATTTTTTTTTTTTTTTTTTTTTTTTTAAAATATTTTGGATATACAATCTCACTGGTTTCATTTACTTTCATTGGGCAGGGCCAGTGCTAGGGGTTTCACACACTCCCGAAATTTTGATACTACAAGTCGATTTCAAATTTTCCCAACCTGAGGGCACCACAAACCCTTGAAAGAAAATTGTGGGGGGTGGGGGTTGTGCTGAAGGCAGCACTTTTTTTAAAATTACCAAAGATCAAGAAATTATACAATTTAATAGAAAATTTCAGTACATATTTATTAATTATTTACTTTTATAATGAATAGGTTTATTTATTCTTTTTGTAATAACTACCACCAATATATTCATGACTAAATTTTACTTGAAAAAATGTTGCAAATTTTTACATTTCCATAAAGATTAATCACCAATGTATCTTCAAAGAAAAAAAAGTTTTACAAAGATTCCAACACAACACAAATGGGATTGTCTTAATTTTCTTTTAAAAAATAGTATTTCAGTTTTCAGTAGGCAAATAAGCAATTGAAACGTTTGGGGTAGTAAGCACCAGCCTTGTCGATTATTATGGTTGATGATTAACAATATAACTTAAAAAAGAAGAAAAGAAACTGCTGAAATTAGCCATTTTGGGGCTCCAACCTTGTTGGAGCTTCCTGCATAGTATGCACCACACCAGCCATGCAGATACACAAGGTATATTATTAGTTGATGACTGATAATGTAATGTCAGTTTAAAAATAATTCAAATAGATGGCTAAAAAATAGCACTGAGAAAAAAAAAAATTCCAGAGGCCAAACAGGACCCCCCCCCAAAAAAAATAGGAGTTTCAAGGGTAAGTTTTCATTACTCTTGTTATTAAATATCCTGCATTGTGATAATAGCTCTACCAAAAGGTAAAATGTGAAAAAAATAAACTCAAATTTACTGTGGATGATCTAGAGATTAAAGCACTTTCTAAACTTTTATCTTAGTAAATGGTTCTCTCTTAATTAAGAGTAACATTTTTTTCTGATTAATATCTTTATAGTGAGCAGCTAAAGCATTTTCTACACTGTTATAATTTTTCTCCCCTAAAATTGTTTTTATATTTATATATATATATATATATATATATATATATATATATATATATATATATACACACACACAGGGTGAGGCAAAAAAGTTGTGCTCCATAGGAATAATTAAAAGCATTATTACACATGAAGATTTTATTTACTAGTTATTTAATTGTAATATGTGCTATTCAAAATGTCCTTTTTAAAAACTTATTTCAATTCTGGGCCTCCAGAATTCATTAGCATATCGGAGAGTTTCCTCTGTAATTTTACTACATCCATATTTAATTCTTTCTTTAAGTTCCTCAATATTTCTTGGGCAAGTCTGATAAACAACTGATTCCAAATGATCCCCCAGAAAAAACAGAGTGTGAGGTCTGGTGACCTTGGTGACCATTTAACAGGACTTCTTAGACTTATCCATTAACCCCTATGGTGTCCAACTTGCTTCAATATATATATTTTCAAATTTATGACATATGCAGGTTATACGATCACTACAAAAGTTGCAGTTTTGTTTCAACACTGCTGGTGTCTTATCAAATGATCTCATATTATATATATATATATATATATAAAAAGGATACTACACCACAAACATGCCAAAATAGCTACACAATTGCAGTCATGTTTCAATGCATCTCATCTGGCAACTGTAAATTACTGGCAAGTGAACAATTTAGATGTAAAATTAAAAAAAAAGGTAGGAGGCATAAGGTTTGTGGTCTTTACTCTGATCAACCAAACGAATATGATCTGTTAAATTTAAACTAAGCAAAGAAGCAAGAATTTAAAAATTAATTTTTATAAATCGGTCATGACGTGTAGATTGGCAGCTAACAGCAGACAAAAAGGAGTGAATGTTAATGGATACATAATTTATACACACTAGACAATGCCATTTCCTAAGAAAAAAATGGGATGATGAGGTAATTTAACAAAATGTTAAAGTTATATGCTTTGTGAGTTTCCTACATAAAAAAAATTATAGTTGATAAATAGCTTCTTTAAGAAACCAGTAAATAATTTTAATAATAATATAGAATTACTTTGTAAATTAATATGCAACTCTTGAATAAAGATTCTTCATATAAGATGTTGATAATAACCCATCATTGTAAAATGTCCAAATACTAATACATCAGTACAAGATGTTATTAATACTACCAGGAGATTAATATAAAATTATATTAAATCCAAATTAATCTTACGAATAGAAAGATAAGCCATATATGATGCAATACAGTTCAACTAAAATTTAAGAAAAACCTTGTCAAATACCAAGTCTAACTGAATTGTAAAGTTAAAGGTAGACTATGTTTACAATTTACCATTAACTCTGATCTTTGATTATTTAATAAAGCATTCTTATCAAGGAACCTGATAGTTTCCAATTTTTCATGTAAACATATAAAACAGGGTTCATATAAGGATCTACATGTCCTTGTCATTTTTAAAATTTTCCATTTCACCTTAGGAGTTTTATCATCATCTTTCAAACTCCAAAAACATTTAGAAAGTGATGTATTATTTCTACAAGTATTATTAGTAAAGGGCAACACATGTTGATACCACATAATCTTGAAATAATTCTTAGTACTGCCAATATAGAACTTTTCAACTGTCAAATTCTCTATTATAGAGATAGTAAAGATAAACAAGAAATTTAGTTAAACATTTGTTTGGCAATGGGCATTGGTCAGAATTCCTACAATTAGAGAGGCCAGTATCATTAACAATATTTTCCTTGGAACTTGTATTATGATCCAGATTATTAAATTGGTTTAAATTTTTATTATTGCATAACTTTATGATCTTCAAAATTATTGGTGCAGCTGTAACTTAGTTTTAATGTGTTTCTGTTAAATATTTTACTAAGGTGGTTACTTTTAGGAAAATCTTTTTATATATATATATATATATATATATATATATATATATATATATAAAAAAATAACCATTTCTGATTATGAATTGGTGAGGGATATAGCAAGAAGATTGTACTTACTTCATAGGCATCTTTAAGATGTTTATCTTTCTGATTACTTGTCTCCCAAAGTTGTTTCCAACAAAGTTCCAATTCTTTGAGAGATTCTTCAACATCTTCCTTTGCATAATGGTCATCACTGAGCAGTTTTTTGCCTTCCTAAATACAATAAAAATCAGTAAATAACAAAAATTAGTACTTCATCATTTAATAATTAATCTGCCAATTAAGACAAAAAAAAAAAAAAAGTTATTTTAATCAGTTACAATTATTTATTTAATTTTTGAGCATGGAAACCTTTGTAAAAATTTCCATCTTTGCAATGTAAGGGCAGCGGAGGGATCTTAAAAGAAAGTAAAAAAAAATTCATGAAAAAACAGTTCCAAAAGAAATGTATTTAATTTATTGAATATATAATAATTGGAAAGAAGGTTTACTATACACAGCTAACAATTTCATAGAGAAACCTCAAATTTGGTATGCATACTTACTGGTTTCAGGAGTAAACAGTAATATTTCTTTTTCTTAATAGATGGAGAAACATACCTTCTAGATGAGAGTCACCCTAACAAAATCATCAGGAAACCATTTTGTTGCAAGTTATAAGTAATTAAATTACTTTATCTTATTTGTATTTGAGTAAATATTGTAAATTATGCTTATAGTTAATTTCAAAATGGTAATGTAAAATAATTGCATCACCACTATAAATTAGAAGTAAATCTGAACAAAAAAAAATATTTAAAAGAAAAGTCAATAATTTAAATGTCACTTCTATTCAAAATATATTTACAAAATTATGTGAAATTTATAATAGAGTACTATCATAATAAAAGATACCATGAAAAAATTAGGAATTAATTTGGCCTAAACTTACCTTGTTTAAAAATAGATCAAATATATTTCTCTCAACTGGTGCACATACGAGAGAGAAACTTTTGAAAATTATAGAATAGTGAAACCCGTAAAGTTACTAATTTTCTTAAAGACTCCAATTGCATTTTCAACTTAGGTGTGCATCATGAACTTTGCTAAAATTAATAAATACCTTTAAAAACACAAAGGTCAACAAAATAGGTACTTGCTAAACAAAGCAAAGAATGCTCATTCATAATAGCTTTTGAACACAGAATTCTAACACTAATACTATTAGGTAAGTGATTCTAAGCTAACAAAAATACAAATACTTCCCTTAGAAAATAGATTGATTAGTTTTTTGTTTTGATTTTTACAGCTTACCAACCCTTTGTTGATTTAAAGTCAACATTTTGTATTGTAAAATAACTTGTTTTGCATGTAAATATTGCATTAACATTTTGTTTTAGAATAACAATGATTTTTCCAGATACACGTTATACTATTTAACCCATAGCTGGGGGCAAGGAAATGGATTCATGCTTTTCCCATTGGTATTTGCACATAAGTGAATGTATTAAAAAAAAAAAAGAAGATTTTCAAATTAGCTAAAAATGCACAACACAAAACTTATATGGTGATTTAATGCAAACAGCATGCAAAAATTTTATTCCAAGAGTTACTTGGATTAATATCCTCATCTTTGTATTTTTTTGTTTCAGCCAGTCTGTCTTTATCTGCTTTTCTCCAGATTAAATTTTTTTTCCTATTATAGATGGTGCTAGATCTGGCAGTCATTCCTATGGATAAACAATCCACCATGTTTACTATGTTTTCCTATACTTGAAAGCTCTTTATAGCTTTGTGCTTTCACATATATATATGTGTGTGTGTGTGTATGTATCCATCTTAATTTTAATAATTATTTGGATATTTCGGCTCTCGTTTTTGAAACATGAGAACTCTTATGTAGCGAAGGAATCATATTTTTAAACAAAAAATAATATATATATATATATATATATATATATATATATATATATATATATACACAAAAAAAACTTCAATGTGGTGTAATGGCTAGCAAGTTTGTCTTGCAAGATCAATTATGAATGAATAATGAGTTTGATCCTCAATGAGTAAGACATACTTTTGGCCTTGTGTCACATCTAAGCTAATCAAAGTTTTATATATATATATATATATATACACACACACACACATATACATACATACATACATACACACACACACTTCAAACAAAATGTAAAAAACTCCCATTAGTATTGGAAAGAAGGATAACAGCTAATGGACTGTCATGTACCATGGCTGATACATGCTTACACGATCATGTATCTTTTGATACATGACTGATGAGGTGCATTTCAACGCGCAGTAGGTTGCCATTTCTTTCTGCAATAGACCAGTTGCCATCCAAGGCTTTAGGACCCGGTCTGTCCTGCTACTTATCCATAGCTGAGAGAAGAGGATTCATACCATTCCCAAGGCTATTAGCATGTAAGTGAATGTAATGGATTCGACTGGAATTTGAACTTTAGTTTCTGTTATTTGGTACAATTCCTTGTTTGCGATTACTTATTGCCAGTCCATGAGGTTCAAAAGATACATGATCCTTACTACGACCTACAGCCATTTTTAATCATTGATCTGTTTGTCTGCAATTGATAGTTTAGATATTTCTGAATGGGTTTGACACCATGCATGATATCCATCAGAAAGCCTCAATCTGATAAGTATATTTATGAACATTACTCTCATTGATGTATATCTTTTTTTTTTAATCAGCTTTGCAATATTCCAAGAATGTTTTGACAGAGATGGTGAACAAGTGGTGAATTTTTAGTTTAAAGTTCTTTACTAATAAAGCTAATCCCATAGAAGTGAGTATATTTTATATTTTTAAATCACGTTACTGATCTATTGAATAATTGTATATTTCAGTCAGAGTCAAGAATTATTGCTGCCAGCAAGTATCTGTGATTCCTAAATCAAGAACAATCTTTAAAAGAAAAAAAAAAAATAGTGATTAAATATGAAACCTAACAAGGACTGAGAACAGTGGCTAAATTGTAGAGATAAACATCAAAGCTGAGAATACCAATTCAAACAACTTGTGAAACAATAACAGATTCATTTTAAACAATATTTATACAAATATTTTCATGAAGAAAAATTTCTAGCAATTTGTCAAATATAAAGTGGTCATCGCATTCAAGGTTTCATTATTTTTAACAATTAACAGATAAAAAGTTAAAAATGTCATTCTAAACAAAGAACAAAAAGAAAAAAAAAAATCAGTAAAAAACAAAGTAAAGGGTGTTTCAATAACTTGGACCAATTTTAAATGTGAATTAAGTGTCTAATAATTTTGTCTTTCTTTCAGATTTGGCAGACATTTGGACAATATTATTTTTCATATATAATTGACATGACTTAAATAACATGATCCAATAGAGAAATAAATAAATTTTCACCAATAACACCGATTTATTTACTGCTGATTTTGATCCGTTTTAATGAAACACCCTTCATGTGAAAATTACTATGGTGCAAAAAAAAAAAAAAAAAAAAAAAAAAAGTTTATATTTAATATGCATTTTTTATGATGGGACCTATAAATTATTTTTTTAATGTCATTTCTTCATAAATACTACTCATCTTCAGAAACGAAAATTCGCTTTTGGCTGTACAGAGATGTTATATTCTATTTCAAATCCAATAATTTTACCCTCTGATTCCTGCTATGTGAACACCACAATAGCAAAATTACAAATAATTTGTTTTCTGCACATGGCTCTATGTACCACTTCCAATACACAAAACAAAAACAACAAAAAAAAACATTTAAAATTGAAATTAATCCTCCAATTACTAGCATAGCCACCAAGATCAAAGGTGTAAAGCAGAATGCCCTAGAAATACAATATAAAACCAGATAAATTCTCTGCACCTGATAGATGTTCACATTCTCACCTAGTGTTCACTACATTTACTCCTATAGGTTGAATAAAGAGTGTGTTTTGTTTGGGCTTCTGCCTGTTGAGAGCATATATCAAGACCAAGAAAAAGCTGGTGTTATATAGCTCTCTTAGTCCCAAACCTACACTGACTATTGGCTAATAGTTTTATACCTACCCTGTATTATTCTTATGCAAATTTTGTCAGTGACACCTATTATAAATAGATTAACCTCTCTCAACTGCCAATTGTGGAAAACAATGTAACTTCTGGTGCTTACTGCATCACACACAATCAACTCTGGGTCTCTTATCAAGTTGACCAAATTCTGTTACAGAGTTCCATTCTAAATTCACTGATAGTCACCTGAATTGACAGACACCTAAAGAATGCTGAAGGATACAAGAGTTGAAACCTTATCCTACCAAAGGTTGGAACATTAAATGAGAAATAATTTTTTTTTACTTCTAACATTATTTTTAGTAATTACCTGTATTTGAGTAGAATATCCCATTTTTTAAACAGTATTTTGTCTAATGGTCTACACATTTTGAAAAAAAAAAAAAAAAAAAAAAACACCTTAAAATGTGCCCTCTGGCAAGATTTGAACCTATGTTGCAGGAGGAAACTATCCGATTTGGCATGATTTAGACCATTTGGCTCACAGCCAAACAATGCCATACAGAAAAGCAATAATAATGAAAAAATTGCAATATGAGCTCTGGTAAAAAACATGCAATGATAACAGCAAAAATTGCAATATAAGCACTGGTAAAAAAAAAAAAAAAAAAAAAATCGTTGCTGAATTTATAAATCCCAAAAATTCATACACAGATGTCCTTAAGGGGAAATGACACAGGAGTTGGTTAGATCCAGTGACAGTTGTGAGTTCAATACCTGGTTAAGGTAGTGGAGAACTTGGAGAGGTGAATTAACAGGTAATAACTGATAACCGACATTCATTAGACATGACACATGGAACTAGAACAGTTTACCCCAGTGAACAAAATAAAGGGTCAGTTCAACATTCCAACCACCTGAAGAAGGCCGGGGCGTACAACAGCCAAAACATGATAAATATGGCAACAAAGATGAGGACAATAGTCTGAATAACATAAATAGTGTACATAATACCTCATCTCAGAAATGTAGACAGATACTGAAGAAACATCTTGTTCAGATTTTTCTTGAAAGCCATATGCTCAGTTTCTTACCCGAAATGTAAACAAAGCAATTTATAAAGAGTTAACAGACATTTTTAATTCAACGTTTTTATTAATTCAAACGTTAATTTCAGTGGATACCCATATTTGAGTAGAATGTCACATTTTTTTTAAAAAATAGACTGGTAGGTGATATGAATACTATATATTTAAAAAAAAAAACCAAAAAAAAAAACAAAAAAAAAAACACCCTCCAGCAGGATTCAAACCTGTGTCTTTAACCTTGCTTGGCTGTGACAGATTCAAATCCTGCTGGTGGGCACATTTTCTCGAATGTGTCAGTCTAGTAGATAAAAACAAAAAAAAACAAAACACTGTTTAAGAAACAGGATGTTCTACTTAAATATGATTATCCATTAAAAATTTGAAGTACTAAAAATGTTGGGTTAAAAATAAAAATTCATTAACTCTTCAGAAATAATATAAATAATTTCACTTAATTCAATTCTCTAAAGTTGATCTATGTGGCTACTTGATATTAGTGTTATGAATAATCAAGAGTGGTCTTCCCTTGTTTTGTTAATCTCCTTTTTGAGAGAGCCATTTCTGTTTACTGGGACTATAAACAGACTATATGCAAACCTTGTATTCTCAGTTTCTTAAACCCTATATCTGCATACATTACAATTAGTTTTATCCAATCTTTAGAGACCTAAGTCTTATGATGAATTTTTTTTTTTTTTTTTTGCACTATATAGTGATTTTCAATTTTTGTTTTGTGGAAATCAAAGAATTTAAAGTGAAACACAAAATTCTTACCAACAAATACAAGAATGAAAAACAAACTCACCATCTTGTTTAATATTTGTAACCAGAACTGTTTGGACAATGAATAAAATAAGGATGTCCAATATTGTTCTGACAAATGTTAATAAATTCAATGTTAAAAAAAAAAAAAATGGAAACTAATTTCTGTCTGAATTTCAAGGATGAGGAGTAATTTACATGCAGATATAAGTCAATAGTTAACATGTAAATAATGTAGATAATAAAAGCCAAGGTGTGTGTGTGTGTGTGTGTGTGTATATATATATATATATATATATATATATATATGTAGTTTAAAAATCAGGAGGTTAATTAAAATATGCAGTGGCCATGGTTTTGACCTGGTGGTCTCATCTAGCGCTAATTTCAAAATGACCACCTTAACGCTTTATTTAAACAAAACCACAAAGAACGCTACGTAATTAGGCATATGATTATTGAAGGACAGGACTGTGTGTGTAATGGGAAGGGAAGTGGAAAAGGAGGTCAAGGAATGTAAGTGTATTGTAAATGTATACAGCAAAAAGGAAAATCAAATATGTAACTTAATTGTTATGGAGGATGGGGTGTATGTTTAAAGGGTAACAGTGTTTTTTTATTTTAGAATTTTTTTTAACTGGCTTCATATTCACTTAAAAATATATATATATATATATATATATATATATTATACACACACTACCAATCAAAAGTTTGGACCACCCTGAACTGTTTTTCTAAGTTCATAAAAAGAAAAAAAAGGGGCTAATTTTGCTTATTTGAATTAATAAATTCACCTATTATGTATATATGCAAACCCTTATATAAAATTCAAACAAATTTGCTACAAGCATTATAAATTTATTTACATAAGCTTTGAAAATTTTCTAACAACCTGATAACTGTTCTGAACTGTTGAGTAGAAATTTACAAATATTTCAACTCCACTGCTTGGTAGAGGTTAAGTTCTATCTAAATTAATGGGTGATAGAAATTAATTTTCAGAAACTGTTAAAATGCTAAGAACTAAACAGATTAGTATTGAAAAAAAGAACCCAAATGGAAATTCTTTCCATAGAAGGGTATTCCGAACATCAGATTGCTAGAAAATTACAGATATAAAAAATGGGGTGAATTATTGCCTGCAGAAACAAATGATGTGAGAGGCCCAGAGTAACGTCTGTTGCAGAGGATAATTACTTGAAGCAGAAAAAATAAATTTCTTTCTTTAAAGACATGAAACTTGATTCAAGTTTAATAAAAAAAAAAAAAAAAATATCAATGCAGTTTCTAACTTTTGGTAGGTAGTGTGGGTGTATAAAAATTATTTTTAGTCAGTAGTGTGTGTGTGTGTGTGTGTGTGTATATATATATAAAAACATTCTTTACGTACACCCTTATGCATGGTTATTTTTGTGTGGTAGCCAAAGAAAAAAAAGACTGACATAATTACAGCAGACACCAGGAAATGCTCAAACTTTTTCTTTTTAAGCATAATTGGAGAAGTACAGTCTTAAAATGGATCACCAGTGCCAAGACAAACAAAAGTGACTGTCTAGCACAAAAAAAAAAATACCACTTCAAAATATTAAAAACCGAAAAACATGGAGTTTGGAGTTCTTAATTGTAGGTGAATAATTTAACATCAATTCAAATGAAAATTCTATTCTTTCTAAATACTTCAAATGACTAAGATATTTAAAAATCACAAAATGACAAACATGTTACTTTGTTGATTTGTAATTTCATATATTTATAAACCAGTGCAATTTCAAATGAATCAGTATTACAGGAATGTCAAAGAATTTTAATTTACCTGGATAATGTCATCAATTCTATTACGATTGGCTGTCAATTCTGCTTCAAAAGCAGCATGTTTCTTTATTTTGGACTGGAGATTAGTTGCATCTCTGTAAGACTCTTCAGTGGCCACTTTTAACTTCTCCTGGATCCAGTTTGTTACCTACAAAAACAAAATGAAAGCAATTATTAAAACACAATTGGCTTCTTATACAGTGTGCGATGTATAAATTATCACCATTTTATTTTATTTTAATCTTGCATGTGTGTTTGTTTTTGTTGACTGCATAGTATAGTACGATGAGTTAGATGCTATCTGTGAGAAATAGAGCACCATGATGCAATTCACTTCACTAGAAATTTTGAAATGGGATGCTGTGCTGCTTATCATTCACACAGAAACTCCAATACAAACACTGGAGAGTGTTTGGGTGTCAATCTGATGACAGTGCAGTTTTGATTCAGAAAAAGTTGTCTCATGTTGATTATAAAAAGGTATAGCAGCTTGGAAAACTCACTCTGATAAGAAAAAACTCTTGAATTTGTGGATGATGGCCTGAGACTTAACATGAAGGCCTACATCAAGTACCTTGAGATAGTGCTGCCCTGGGTCAAAAGGGTGGCTGCTGGAAGACCCTATATATGGCAACAGGACACTGCACCATCCGACACAAGCAAGAGAGCCTAGTTATGGCTATCAGATAATTTCTGTGACCACATCACCCTTTACAGCTGGCCATCTAACTCCCAACACTGCAATCCACTTGATTATTATGTGTGGGGTATAGTCGAGTGAGAGACTAACAAAACTCCTTGTAATACCAAAAACGAACTGAAGGCAAGGATTATGACAACATTCACCAACTTAAAGACTGTCTAGAAGAGGTACAGGATTCTGAAGTTGTCTAGAGGCTGTGGTTGAAGCCAATGGCGATTTTATTGCATACATTTATTCTTTAGTATTTAAAAGATATTTTTTGTGTAATTTTAGTAAATATATGTTAAAATGAGATGTCAGTATTATTTTTATTTTTGTGAAATTTAGACAATTTATCCATTGCACCCTGTATTTGAAAATTATGTGCTTTCTAGCAACAATTTTTAATTATAAATGTTGATAAATTTCAATTTTGTTTAATATTAAAAAGATATTTCATAATAAAACCAATTAAAAGTCCCTGGCAATTTTCTTTCAAATGTATATACTCTTGAGATATGTTCTAATAGACAAGTATTGAAAATAAATGAAAAAGAAAAATTACTTGTACTTTATTTACAATAATCAAACCAAAATAATGTTCAGAATATAGAGCCGATTTCTTAATTTTTTCATTGTATTTACTGTTCAGTATACTACTGTACTGTACAGACATTTAGAAATGTTAAAAAGGGTCCAAAAGTAACATTACAACTATCTGGAGTTGGTTGATAAACCTATTACATGCATTTAATGTCTGAAATAATGGCCAGGTACAACTTCTCCACAAAACAAAAGCCTTTTGCTTACAGGCTTCAAATTTAATAGGCATGCTAACTGGACTCAAGAAGAATTCTCAAAGAAATTTTTTTCTCAAGGTGATAGAAGAATCCCATTGCTTTTCCAATATATATTTACAGTAACAATTACTGTTTGGAAGCACTCATTTACAGACTATAATTTCTCTTACTAATGTCAAGACAAGGAAAATATTTGTGCACTTTGAACAAATTCAGAGAATAATACCAACTGCTTTGAAGACATGTGAAGTTTCTATGACATGAAGAATTTAACTCAAAAGACAAGGGAAGCAAAGGGAAACAGTATGTAACCATAATGAGTTGATGTGATGGTAAAAGGTCAAACCTTAAACCAATAAAAAGCAGGAAGTTGGAGAACCATATAAAGTACTGTAGCTGTATATTTCAATAACATTAAATGCTTATTCATAAATACACTGTTCTCTGCTGAAACAATGAAGTCTTATATGTCATCAGAGGGCATGTGATCAATTGGTTACAATGTTCATTTTCTGAACAAGAGATCTGGATTCAAATCTCGCCATAGTTGACTTGTCAGGTAAGTGACTTCTTAATGTCATCTGACTGAGGGAGGTTGTCCAGTATGCAACACTACTGAAAAGTGATTGAAAAAAAAAAAAAAAAAAAAAAAATACCACAGGTTGACACAAGCTTTGTGAGTGAAATTAAGTTTGCAAAACACTTCGGAAACCACGTGTTAGATTGAAATCACAATTCATCATGAATGAGAGTTTGGTGTTTGTGCTCTGGCCTTGTCCAGGAAGGCTTTTGACGATGCTAGATTATGATTTCTTTACCAGCAACTTGATTTTATTGATTGTTTTGTATGGCTTAACTCTTTGCAAGTTATTTAAAGTAAGAATTATTTTTTAGTTAATAATGTCTTAGTGATACAAGTTTTACTAATTAACCCATAGTTGTGGGGAGGAGAGGTGGATTCATACTTTTCCCAAGGGTATTTGCACATAAGTGAATATAACGAATTTAACAAGAATTGGAACTCAGGTATTCGGTTATCAATGCTCAGCCATTATCCATTATACCAACTGCATTTATAAGCTTACAAGGCCCAGTATTCCCAAGTGGCCACTTTGGTGATTGTACAAGAACTGGTGTTCAATGTTAAGAGGCTATAAACCCCAGGAACTAATGTCCACTTAAAAACGTTGCAGTATAAACCACAGGTGGGCACTGTGGCCGTTTAATAAACACAAATGTGCCTGAGCAGGCAACTGCAACAGAGATTAGTTAGCTATCCTAGCAGGGAGGGGTGTACCTGGAAATGATCAGCCAAACAATAATGGCATGAGATATACCAGGTAAAAATATTTTTGTACCATCCCTAAAAAGTGAAAAGCATTTGCTGATCAAAAATAGTTGATTTCTTTTTTATTAAAAGATTAGATCGGAGGTTCAATCCCACCTTCCTTTTTTTTTTTTTTTTTTTTTTAACCCATAAACCACTCTTAATCTTTTTGGAGGAGCCCCATAACCATTCAATAAAAAAAAAAAAAATAAAAAAAAATAAAAATCTTATTTTATTTTTTACAACTAGGTAAGTTTAGGAATTGTATTCTAAAAGTAGTAATTGTATATTATTTATTTTGAAGTAAACTAATTTATTAAAAATAAAATTGTATTTAACAACTCTATGGTACACTTATGTACACTAGTAAAATAACTCATAATAAACCATTTTGAATTTTTTTTACAATCAAAACATTTGAGACAGTAAAAAAGACACTAACTTACATCACTTGATTTCATTTTTAGCTTCTTTTAGTTGGTTTTCTATTTTTAGTATTTTAATATGGAATGGATTACTGTAGAAATTCCAATTCTCAGTTGTAACAACTATTGTGAAGTCAAATTGCTCTATGGACCACTAAAATATTACTATGAAACCCTAATTTGCTATTTTTTATGTAAACCCCCATGGTCAATATGGACCCCAGTTGAGAATCACTGATCTGGATGACCAATTATAATAACATATTTTTGTGTTGCAACTCCTGAATAAAATCAGGCACTTACCTGATAGAGATTGCGAAGGAAAAGTTGATATTTGCGAGAATTTTCCAAAGTTTTGTTCCGAGCAGCAGAAGTGGCCCAGAGTTTTTGACGCCGATTCTCCACAGATTCACAAAGAGCCTGGATTTCATCAGAAGCATAATGTTGCTGCTGGCAAAGGTCACTGGCAAATTGGGTTAGATCATCAATTCGATCTTCTTGAGCTCGTAAAGCCTTTTCAAAACTCTTGTGCTTCTTAAGCAAGGCTTCAACTGAAAACAAAGTATCCTGAAAAATAAATATAAAATAAAGAGCTTAACTTATTTCAACAGGATTAAAAATACATTTTTCATTATGCTAGTTTACTAATAGCTCAGGGCTCTTTTCTGGATAACATTTAACTTGGAGCTTGTAGTGGTATGTTAATAAGAATGATCATTTGTAGATGTCTGTTTATTAACATGACCACACGATTTATATTTAACATAAAATACCACAAAATATGAAACAACAAGAAGGAATAAAAATGGTTTTATAACAACATTTACATTTATTTTTGTGTAATGATGTACATGCATAGAGGTTACTATTTTGTTGGTATTATGTCCCTTTGACTGAATTAAAGCTGTATTGATGAAGTTAAAATAATTTTATACGAGATCACAAAAGTTGAATGAATTATAAAGCTGAGAAATGCTGAATAAACTTGTAGCTTTAGAAAAGTATTTCAAAGAGAAAAGTTCTTGTTGCTTGTTTTGAAATGTTTGTAATATTTGTGTAGTTTGGAAAATTTCCTATGTACATGCATGTGTGAATATGTTTTTAACATCTGACTGCACATGGTCGAGACAGGATGCTTTAAGGTTACATCTTCGCAGGAAAAGAGAAGAGAAAAAAAAGTGAGCAAGCTTGTGTCTGCGATTTATAATTAATGTAACCATGTGACAGGATCCTAGGAAAATGGCAGGAAAACTTGACTTGGTCATGCACTGGAAAAATATTTATATGTGGGTGGATTGCAATGCCCACTTGTGTGTTTATTGACCAATTTGTTTTATGTATGTATCTAGAGTTATAAGGTTTTATTTTAAAAATATGGTCAGCACATTGTGGCAGTGTTCACAGTTGATATTGTATGTTGGCTTTCTTTTTTATTAATAATACTACCATTATTTTCAGCTTTTTTATACATGTGGATGATGCTATTATATTTGTATTATCAATGAGTATATTATGGATAGTTTGGTAGGTCACCAAGTGTATTTAGATGAGACCTAATTGAGCTATGGTCAGAGAGATCTAACGCGAGTCTTGTTAAACACATGCTGTAGCGTAGCAAATATGATTATTTTCAAATTTGGATTGATCAGGAACAACTCCTTAAGGCAAATTCATAAATAATGTAGTTCTCTATAATGTAGTTCTTGCAGGTGAATTATTTTTGACAATGAGTTTTGTTATAAATAATTTAATTTTTTTGTTTTTGTCAGCTGGAGGTGTGCATTTTGTTATGATGTTTTTAAATGAAGATTTGTCTTGCTTATAGTTACCATCCATCCATCCATCTGAAAATTAATAAAGTGAAAAAGATTTTGTGTGATGATTTCATCCCTTAGGACTTCAGACTAAAGTGATGTTTACAATGATATAACTATAAAAAATATAAAAAAAAAAAAAAAAAAAATTACATTATGGTATATAAAAATTTATATATCATTTTTTCCATATATATATATATATATATATATATTAGTTTGTGTTACTTACACCAACATCTTTGTTACTGAGAACTGCTTCTTTTGCTGCCAGCCAAATATCAGCCTGTTCCACAGTTTCTTTGTAAATCTGGAAATATTAGTAACAATAAGAATACAACTAAAAATAAAAAACATATATATGTGTACTTAAGTATGTGTTAGTATATACAGTGATTAAATAAAAAAAAAAAATTGGAAACTTGAACCTTTGTCCCCACAAAAAAAAAAAAAAAAAAAAGAATGAAGTGTTAGAATGACTGTTCTTCCTTTGACACTATTATTTTAACTACCTTCACTTCTTGGCAATGTTATTTTAGTACTGCTCAGTTCTAAAGAGGGTAAACAATAACCGAGTGCTACCTAAAATAAGCACTAGATGTGACATCCCTATATGGGTATCTGATATTAATGATTGAATAAGCTCCACAACTATAAAATACCTGTGAAAATTCTGCTATTGTATCATTAAATATTTGTTTAGCAACTTTAACAAAATATTGCATAACAAACATAAATATGAATATAGTAAAGTAATATAAGAGGGTACAAATGAAGATTTGAAATTAGGAAGATTTTTTTTCATTTCACTGAAGCAAATACACGAGAACATTAATGCCTCAAACTTTTCTTTCCTCACTTAAGCTAAACAGCATCTGGTATGTCATTTCCATCTTACCACTTGGTTAAAACAAAATATTCCATTATTTATGAGGTACTGACATGGTATAACATATATGCTAACTAAGGATTACTACTTTTTTTTTTTTTTTTTTTTTTAAACACAGCTTATCAACAATTTGTGAGTCATTTAAAGCAGAAACATTTTTGATTGTAAGAATACTTCTTTTGCCATTGAACATTGTATTAACAACTTTGAGAATAAATTATTTTTTTTCAGAATCAAGTACTATTATTTAAGCCATTGCTGACGGATGGAGATGGATTCATACCTTTCTAACAGGTGGTACCACCCAAAGTTAGGGTGGACCTAAGAACACCAGCAATTAAGGCATAGTTCCACACTCCTCAAAACCTGATCAGAGGCCTTGCTATTGGACGTGGTTTATTGTCATACCCAGGATGGGTACGTTTTATAGATATATAGTTTGTACATAATCCGTTATATGTTTTGACATAAAGCTATTTTTTAAGATAGAACACTATGTTGAAAGATTCATTATTTTCAAATAGTTTTCTCATGTTGGTTTCCTTGTAGTATTTATGTTTTACAGGTGTCAAGTGGGTATATTCAGATAAAATGTGCTTCTTCATTTTCTTCTTGAAAGAAATACTCCTTATAATGGTTATTGATGAACCAAAATAATACAAAAAAAAAAAAAAAAAAGAAAGAAAATGAACAGACCTGCAGGTTATGGCATTCTGTCAGGAGTTTGCTACGTTTATCCCAAGCACCATTTAGCATCAATCGACTCTTGTCCAATTCTTTGATCATCTTTACAACATCAGCTGCTTCTGGTGCATTTGCAGCTTCAAGTTTTGCCAAGAGATTGTTACCTTGTTCCCTGACACCAGTCAATACTTGATGCCGACCATCAATTTCAGCCTGAAAAATTAAATTTTTTTCATGAATATTTATAGATACTATTAGTATCCATGACATTTCCCATTTAAATTTTCTGATGAATCCTAATTCTTAAGTTAATTATTGAATAAGTTTGTGTTCTATGATAAAATACCTGTGGAAATTCCCCTATTGAACCATTAAATATTTGAGCTTAACTAACAAAATATTATAATAAGCACAAATGCAGGTTTTTATTTAAAGTAGTAACAGGGTACATATGAACAAATTTAAAGTTAATAATTTTTTTTCCATTTAAATGAAGCAGACATTAAACAGAGTTATCTTCTCTTCTTTTTTCTCACTGAAACCAAACAGTGTCTCAGATATCTATATCTTTCCAAATGATCAAAACAGAATAATCCATTATTTATGAGGTATTGGCAGTGCATAACATTTGTGCTAAGTAAGGAACAAGCAGAATTAAAATATGACTACATAATATATTTTTTTTATTCACCAACATTGTCTTACATCTTATTTGTTTTATTAGGTTGGTGCAAAAATAATGACATAATGTCGTTTTTTTTTTATGTATTTTTTAACGTCAAAAAACGACATTCTTACGTCATTATTTTTGCACCAACCTAATATTACAATATACAGGCTTCATAATCTTGAGCCAACCATCAAAGTGGCTTTGAATGACAAATTTACATACAAAACTGTTTTTTTGATGGCTATAGCTTTTTCCACATTAATCATCAAGGCTTCCATGATCAAGCAACAATAACAACTCTTAAGCTGCATCAAAATTGTTTGACCGACATGAACCAAAACACCATTTTCCTATTTTTACCGACCAAGCTCCATGACATGAACTATTTCAAATTAATTGACAAATGCTTTTTGCAACCAGTTTATTACTTCATTGAGAGCAAAAGCCTAATTCATGATATTTTCAGTGCATTAATGGAATCAGAAAGGTAATCCCCAAGAACCTTACACATACAGAGGTATCTTCATCATTATTAAAGTACTAATGAACATTGTATTGACAAGACTCCCTAATTTGGTTTTTATTCTGGAAAGGAATGTATTGATAGCAATTATGTCATCAAACACCAGAAATAGCCTGGCTCTCTGATAGAAAATTATATACCTGCTATGTTGACCTCACAGCAGCATGTAACTATATCAATAGAGACTTCCTCTTACCTATTAGAAACCAAACTCCAACTTCACTGAATATTTAAAACTAACAGAAGAACTAGATCAGTTCAAAAAATTAGTACATGTATAGCAAAGACCCCAATACTTAAATATTTCAAACCGCATCAGGCATATAAAGAGGAATGAGCCTAATTTATTTAATCTCTTTGTAGACTATATTCTAATTATATACAAATACAAATGTGATAAGATAGGTACTGGTCATTCTCTACCTCCCAAATGAATCTACAAATAGAAAAAAGGGCTCCTGCTTTCCCACATACTGATGATCAGAGTTAAGGCTATACCAATGACATCAGTATTCATAGTTTGGATAAAAATGATCTTGAATAAAAAACATCTACCAAGTGTTCCAAGAAGTAGGACCAAAAAACCTTTCCAAAACAGAAATTATGAGTTATAATTAAAATCAAATTTGTGATGGCACACACCCTGAATTCATCATAAAAATTCAGGATGTGGAATTAATAAATATTAAACATAAAATACCTCAGTATATGGATCAACTATAAAAAAAATTTATTATAGGAGATAAGGAAGTTGAATATAAAATAAGCTGCATTAAGGTTAGTTTTATCCATCACCACACAAAAAAAATCTTACAGATGAAGAGACTTGGTGCAACAGAGATATGGTGAGAATCCCATGGACTGAAGATGTGAGAACCAAGTAAGTTTTAGAGAGAATGGGAAAGAAAAAAAAAAAAACACACACATACTTAAACAGAAAAACTTGAAATTTCTAAGACACATAATGAGGAAAGAAGACTTGGGGAATCAGACACTCACAGGACATAATGAAGGGATAGAGGAAAGCAGCAATTAACCTACATAACTTTGTGTGAATGGATGGAAGAACAGGAGGAATAGCAAAAAGATAAACATTACTCAGAGCTACAAAAAACAGGAAATTGTGGAGAACCATGATCACCCACATCCTGAAAGGTCACATACATTTGTCAGAACTTACCTTTCTTTCATGATGATGCTGTAACATATTTTCAGCTTCCAGTGCATCTTTAGCCAGTTCTGCAGAATTGATACGGCTTACCATATTGTTGGACCAGTTCACCTAAGAATAAAAACAATATTTATTTTTTTATTGGCTAATTTTTTTTTTTTTTTAAATGTGTAGGTCATAACAGTTATCAGCATGGAAAGTGAAACCAGCTTGTACTAATGCCCTTGGAAAAGTTATGAATCCTTATCTCACTAGCTATAGGTTAAATAATAGGGTAGAGTAGGCTCTTGAGCTTTGGGTGGCAGCCAGTGTAGGTGAAACAAGTATATTCAAAACAGAAAGCCATGAGAAAATTAGTTTTCCATAAAACTATCATTTTACACCAAGCAAGGTAATAAAGAAACTAAGGTGCAATGAGGGGGGTTACTAAGAGTGAAAGAAAATGAGAAAACATTGAGAGAGGACAATGCATGATTAAGATTCAAAACAGATTATTGATGTTTCATTTGAAATTTTGGAAGATTGTAGTTTACAGGAAGACTAACTGATTCAACCACTTGTCATTCATTTTGTAAGTTTTAAAACTGATTTTTGCTTTAAAAATACAAGTTTACATTTTTTTTTTATAAATTTATCTAACTCAACATGATGAGAGAGTGACTCATCATGATGAGAGAGAGTTAAAATAAGAGGGAGAAGACCTGTCATACTGGTGAGAGATAACTATCACAGCCACTAAGCAGATTTTCATTGAAGAAAATATTAAAAATTGTCTTACCAATTCTTGAGCATCCGAAATAAATTTCTGCAATTCATAACTTTCTGCAAGCTTCTGTTTTCTGTTAAATAAAAATCAAAGAAAAATAAATTGTGTTTATGATATTTTCTTTTTTGTTAATAAGTGACAAAACACAAATAGCCCCCATTAAGTGACAAAACACAAATAGCCCCCATTAAGTGACAAAACACAAATAGCCCCCATTAAGTGACAAAACACAAATAGCCCCCATTAAGGGACAAAACACAAATAGCCCCCATTAAGGGACAAAACACAAATAGCCCCCATTAAGGGACAAAACACAAATAGCCCCCATTAAGGGACAAAACACAAATAGCCCCCATTAAGGGACTATAAAATTCTTTGTATTGCCAATACAGAGGATGTGAGTAGAATGTCTTTGTGGGCAAAGGAAGCAATTTGGAGGAAGAGAGTGTAGGTAGGGCCTGAAACTGATGCATTTTTTGGACCAGTTGACAAAGGACACAGGTAGTGATGCTCAGCTTGCTAAGCATAAACAGTAGGCCTGTTTGCCGTGATTCTGTCTGATTCAGTAGGTTAAGAGTGGCTTTCTTAAAAGCAAACCATAGTGGCTTCTGAACTAGTCTTTTTTTATGTTTGGCAGTAATATTCTTTTATACTGTATTTTATATTTTTTGAGAGGGATTTGTTTAGTGGGCCAGATGTGATTCTTGGAGCCCCTGCACAGAGGGCAATTTTTTTATTTTGGTTTTTACTTTCTTAGCACTCACATCTGACCAACAATGTAGAGTTGTTGGTTCCAATTCCTATAGGAATGACTACAAAAACGTCCTCCCCAAAAAATTTATCGACAAAACAGATGCATTCTGGGATTTCTTCCTATCCAGTAAGATAGGTAACTTAACAGTCCCATCTGGTTCAGTTCTGTTGAAGTCAAAATGCTGTAATTACTTGTCCATATCCCCTTTTTGTATGTTAACACCATTTTTAGTTTGTGAACTTTTTGCCCAGCTGGAAACTAAATCTTTAGATTAATTATTTACTTTTCCTCACATATCCCCTAATATTAATATTTAATCTTTAGTAATGCTTACCGAAGGGAAAGGAGTTTTTGGAGGCATTCCCAACTGTCTTCAGCTTCTGCCAGCTTTGTTTCAATATTTGACGACATGTGTGGATACTTCTGTTCCAATCTGTATGCATGCTGTCCCAATTTCTGCAAGAAAAAATCATTTATGAATATAGCAACTTACTGTAGGTCTATCTGAAAGAAGGTCAGCAGATCATAAAGATATCCGATAGTGTTCCAACAATAAACTCTTATAATAGTGGTTATGAACAGGTTACAGATAATCAGTTCTTTAGTCGCCATTACGTGTATTTCATGAAAGGAAAGAAAAAGGATGGAAAATGTTCATTAATATGATATATTTGTTTGTATATTATTTTTATTAGTTTGTCAGCGGTTTCAAGCAATACATACATATAAACATAATATGAAGCTTCGTTAATAATAGATTTAATTCAAGATCATTTTGTCGTCTATTATATTTAACAACTTCAAATTTGTATATAATCAATATTAAGGAATATTACAGTGCTTACTGTAATTTTATTTCTTTTTTTTTTTAATTTCATTTTTGTATAGACGTGAAATATATATATTCTTAACATGCAAGATACAGTTTAAACGATAAGATAATAGGGTTGAGCTTAAGTATCCCCGCCAAAAGAAAGGAAAAAGTACAAATAAAATAAAAACGGCAAAACTTAAATCATACAATACTTAAGGAGAAGATTTAGGAACATTAAGATTACCTCCTCGGTTATCCATCGAAACTGCAATCCACCGAAATAAGAAAAGAAACCAGTCCCCACCGCAGGCCATTTAAAAGATATTTCGCGCACAGGATTGGTTGTTACAAACATCCAATCAAATGCGCGGAAGATGTGGTCTTTCTTCCTCTTAATCATTAAAAAGGCCAGAGTGGCTGCTAGCGTTTAATTAAAAGGGGGAATCAGGGGTTGATCTCCTCTGATTGGGTCGATTTGGTGATGGGGAGTATGATGTTGAGAGACCCAAAACTCCCTGATGAACCAAGTCAAAAACATCACTGACGACCCCCTTGGGCGCCAACTTAAAAGCGTATTTGCGAACGAAAGATCAATTAATCTTCATGGTGGCAGTTTGTCTTACCAATATTGAAAATAAAAAAATAAAAGTTAATTTGTATGCAGAATAATTTATGAGAAATATCCACGAAAATTTTAGTTTTGTTATTTGAATTTCCTGATGAATCTCAAGTCAATGAATGAATAAGCTCAAGATGGGGTCTACAACAATAAAATATCTGTAGAAAGTTCCCTATTGCATCGTTAAATATTCAAAGCTTAACAATAACTATCAAATATGAATGCTAGTCATTATTTTATTATGCAAGTGGGTACAAATAAAAAGATTTGAAATTGCCAACTTTTTCCATTTCACTGAAATGGATGTTAAAAATTTTTTATCTTCTATTCTTTCTTTCATTTTCTTACTGAAACCAAGAAGTGTCTCTGATATGCTTTTTCCGTCTTTTCACACAAAACGGAATAGTCCATTATTTATGAGGTATTGGCAGGGCATAATGCTTGTGCTAAGAGTGGGACAAGCAGAATTTAGATTTAGTATGTTAATGGTATCATGATGTTATGAAAATTAAAATATTTTTAGTCAAACAAAAAAATGAAATTTAAAAACTTTAAAAATCTGATATTTGGCCAAGAGCTTTTCAGTATCCTTCATATAGACAATTCAAATCATTCAATACCAGAACACTTTTTCTTTTTTACACTTTACTGAAAGATATACAGCAGAAAAATATTCGTGGAATTGAATAAATGTGACGTGATTCAAGAATCAGACAACATTGTGTTAAATCAAACTAGTTTAAAAAATTTAAGTACACATCTATAGGTTGGTAAGAATGGTATTTGGATATTTTTGTATTAATGTGTGGAGATTACTTCCACCTAATCTGCCAAGATTACCCACTAGGTGGCACTATTTCATGACTTTAACAGAACAGACATAACTTTCTCACTCTTTTGCTTCTAAATGTGGTAGAAGCAACAGGTATTGTCACTACTGGGGGAAAATTCTTACCCGGGTGGCTGGCTGCTAAACTCCAAATACAGTCTCACAAGAAAGCCTAAAATGTTTGTTTTTTTTTTCAGCTGTGTACACACAAGTACATATATATATATATATATATATATATATATATATATATATATATATATATATATATAATAAAAAAATTCTTCACCTGTTGAAAATTTATTCCTTCCGATTTTTTTTTTTTTATTATACAGCTTATTAAACTTTTGCAGATTTAAAACCAGCAATTATTTTTTGATTGTAAGAATCTTTTTTTGGAGATAATGATTTTCTGATACAAGTCTATTATTTAACTCCTAGCATGTGGGCGGATTCATTCATTTCCCCACAAGTGGGCATAATGAAGCCAACATTGAAACTGCTCTCATATTCCAAGCAATTATCCTTTACAACACATCCAAGCTTATCGCACCTGGTATTCACCCATCTAAGTACTGGCCAGGGTTAACATTGCTTAACTTTGGTGATCATATGAGAACTGGTATTTTTATGAGATATGGCCTTAAGTCCTATTCCTTCTGGAAATGTTGATTTCAAATTCTTTGAGGGTGCTAATCAACACCAATTCCAATACAACCCTGTAGAGATGTATCCCCTAGAAATGTCAATTCCAACTAGTCTTGATCCTTAAGCTGTACAAATTATTGAATCTTTGGAGCTAAGCTTCCTTTCTACAAAAGTGTGTGTGTGTGTGTGTGTGTGTGTGTATATATATATATATATATATATATATATATATATATATATATATATATATACACACACAGCATGTGGGTATCTCTAGGTCAGGCCTGATGAGACACAAAAGGGGCATAATGCAGATGTCAGCGTCCAAAATCATTCACCACTGCCACCACCTATGTGCAAGGTGGGTATGTACAATCTGCAGCAAACACTGTAAAACCCTAGAAGGCTTCATGAGCTACTGCTGGTCTCATAATTGGTGAATTTACATACAAGACAATTTCAAGGAAAAAATGTCAGCAATGGTCATATATATATATATATATATATATATATATATATATAAAAACAGCAAGATATTATGAATAGAAGTGTGTAAAAATTCTCAAAGCTTTTGTATCAGCCTAATAGCTTTTAGAAAGACATTTCATCATGCAGAAAATTTTATATAGGAGTTCATTTTACAAGTTAAAAAAACCTACCACCATATCTGCTTCAAGAACTGTGAAGTCCCGGTCTATTTGTTCCTGTTTACGTAAGAGAAGTTGAACAGCAGCAAGATCTTTGATGTTATCAACAGTTGACAGCTGGACCTCCTACAATTAGAAAAGTTTTTCAAATAATTCTTGAGTAATTTCAGAGGCTGAGAAAATTGTTCTGAGCTGAAATGAAAAGGTTCATGTTCATGTGATGTGACACATTTTCAGTGATAAATTGCAGGTCAAAGTTGATTAACAGGTGGCAGGTCAAAAAAAAGTCCAATATTACAATATACACCAATAGAATTATCTATGTTTTACAGAAACTATCCTGCTTGTTGGTTATTGTGGCATGTGGGGAGGACTTCCTTACTTTGTGCGATTCAGCAGTAGCAACAACAGAAGTAATCAGCAGAATACAACGAAGTCATAAAAGCCCTGACCGAGTCCTATTTGGCCTTTTTTTCCATCTTCCTTTTCAGCGGCCTCTACCTCATGACCAGCTCATTCTCACTCTTGCTTTGTTATAAAATAAAATAAGACATATAGCAGCTGATTTACAGGCAAATAAACTAACATACTCGAGTGAGAGCCGGATGTGAACAGGACAAGGCCCCGTCACAAAATGACCATTATCTTCGTTTACACATGTTCCTGATGCACAAGTTCCAGTCGAAAAATAAAATATTTTAAAGTGTTTCTATTTTTCGACCAATAAAAATGCTTTCCTCCTAATTATACTCGCACGTCATTTTTTGAGCCTGTTAAGCCATAAAAAATGCCATAAAAGGGGTCACACGAGGAAGTACAACAGCAGTCAACAGGAGGCCAGGGAAGAGACCTGTCACGGTCAGGCTGAGTGGTCAGCAGCAGCCAGTAGCAGTAGCGCCATTCCAACCAGCGAGAACTAATATGAGAGATCAACCCAGATCTTCAGCCGGCCTATGAACTATACCACAAGGTAGCTGTCCCAAAACCACACGTTCCTATTGAAATAAATCACGTAAATCTATTTCTACTGTTGTCGTATTTCTTTCTTGCAACCATATGCTTGTCTAATACTTTTCAGTGGCCACAACCTTCAAGGCCCAGCTCAAAGAGCTACTCAACCCTTCCTGCAGAAGATGAGGCCTATCCTGGCAGCTTGACAGATTTCTTTATGCAAACCGTCAAATCTACCTTCAAGACACCTACCAAAACCCAAACTACACACAACATTTACTTCACAAAACTTGTACCAGTCCTAATAGTTTCACACTCAGATTTCATTCCTCCCATGGGAACAAGCAGAGAAATCTCTTTACAATATTTAAGTAAATGCTCTGTTTATTATAAACAGTATTAACATTTATCATTTAAATTTGTAGTTTAAAACAGTAACTTTGCTAACCAGATGCTTCCTCTGTAGCTAAATAGTATAGCACATCAGGCTATATGACAGTTCCATGTAGAATAGAAATTAGATTCCTGTCAGAGGACACATTTATTTATGAAATTTCTTGCACATTCAGGCCGGTAAATATTGTTAATACTGTTTATTATAGACAGAGCATTTGCTTAAATATTTGTATCTATAAAAATAATGTATAAACAAAAAAACATTAAAATAATTTTCAAACTTAGTCCATTTCATTATATATATATATATATATATATATATATATATATTATATATATATATATATATATATATGGCTAAGAAGTTCATACACTCCTTTTAACAGGTTTTGTTCTTCATCCTGCAAGGTGACATGTTACTCTCCTCATCAGCAAAAAAGCTTTTGGTTTCAACACCAGCCACCCATACTTGCAGCAGGGTGTACTGGGTTATATGTTACCAGTAGCAGAACTAAGCTTGACCAGACACAAACAAAAAATAGTTTAGTCAAATTGAAAGCAGTACATTGTAGAGAAATCAGAGACTATCTAAAAGGATATAAAAAAAAGATGAATATGCTAGTCAGATATGGATTACCTTTTCTTTTATTCTGTCTTTAATGTCATCCACGTCTCTGTTAAAGGCATGAATCTCAGATTGGTTTTCCAGTTCAGTTTTATATTTTTTCAAGGCACCTTGGAGTTGGTTCCAACTGAAAATGACAAGAATATATAAATAAAAAGGAAAAATAAAGTTGATTGCAGGTAACAGAAAAAACAATAGTTGCTATTTAAAGAATAACAATAAATGAATGAAGTGGACAAAGACCATAGAATAACTTATTTCTTTTTAAAACCATATCACCATACTTAATGTTCTTGGCAAAACAAATCCAGCAGGTAACAGGATGATGTCTGAATAGTAAAAGCGAAATTGATTCAATAGTAGGGGAAATGTTGGTTGTGTCAAGTCATATTCGCAGCTCAATATGAATTTTAATAGGCACATGACCTCAAAATAGATTAAAAAAAACAACAGAACTGATTCAATAATAAAGGTAAGTTTTGGTTGTGTTGGGTAAAGTTTTTTTTAGCTCAACATGAACTTCAGTTCAAATATAGCCCCCATAACAAAAATTCAGTTTATAGAATTTTCAGATATTCTATCAACCTATATTATGATCAGGTCAAAATAACTAAAATCATTGTGAATAAACTCACAGAATGAACTGAAGCAGGTAATGCATTTGTGAAAATGCAAGACCCTTATTTTAGAAAAAGGGGCATAGTATTCCTTAATGTATGTAATTTATACAGAGATGTGAAAGGTCATGAAAACATAAAAGTTTTAACTATTCGCCTTTCCAGAAAAAGAAATTTTTCTCTTGACACTAACTGAATACTTTACGAATCAAAAAAAAAAAAAAAAAAAAAAAAAAAAAAAAAAGCTTTCATATTTATTTATAAAAAAGTAAAATATTGCACCATAATAGGTTAACCCATTTATAAACTTGTAAATATAAAATTATTCTTGTATGTAAACAATCTAATAAAATAAGTATTTATTTTTTTTAACAATTCTTGAGAAAAAAAAATACATAGTTTTCTGCGTTTGGGTTTTATTAAATATATAAAAATAGCTTTTTAAAGCAATAAAAATTGCTGAGTGGTTATACAATATTATATATATATATATATATATATATATATATATATATATATATATATATATATATATATATATATATATAACACAATCTTGTATATCATGCAACCCCCAAATTTTCACTTATAAATTTTCATTTATCACATGAGTTTCTTTTTTGAGAGACCAAATTCAATAGACTAACCTTTTCCTTTTTATTCCATCTTCTAGTTAAATATGTTAAGTAAGAGAATGATAAAAGTATCGTTAGTAACATACTTGTTACGTAAATGCGTATGTCAAACAACCAAATGATAATCTTAGAAATGTAAACAATGGAAAAAAGATGCATATTTGCTATGTTTGTATTTTATAATATGATACTATTGTGAATATTACATGCATTATTATTGGATACAGTTAAGTAAAACAGCAATTTTATCAAAATCATGTTTAGTTTAAATACAGCTGTACTTTTCGACCTCAGTAAATGGATATATAGTTTGGTCAACAGCATAGTAGTATATATGCTAATTTTATATTTATATCTTGTGTGTAATGTAGTCTCCTTAAAATTAGCTTCAAAATTAGGTCTTCAAAAGTCACAGGATATGCAAGTGTGTGTGTGTGTGTATTATATATATATATATATATATATATAAATCAACTCTCAGAAAATAAAATGGAGACAAAATTTACATGCTGACCCATTTAAAAAAATTTAAATCATTTTTTTTTTTTTAAAAGTGATAAAAAATAATTTCTTTCTTAAATATTTACATTAAAAACAAATAAAATAAACTCACTCTTCTATCATGAAATCTCTCTTCTCCTTGGCATCATCATTTAATTTGTCAGCCAATTTACTGATTGACTGAACTCTTTGTTGGTCTACACTGATACCCTGTTGAAAAAAAATTGAAAATAAAAAGATTAAGGTACAAAAAATGTAAGAAATAAATACAAACAAGTGTTTTTAATTATTTGTACTCGAGTTTTCACATGAGTTGTCATTCAATTCCTGTTTATCAACACTTTCCATAATACACATTTTTTTAATCAGCAGAAACTAAAGTTTTTCAAGAGAGTTTGTGATAAGTTCCCACAATGTCTCTTCTGATCTCCAGCACATTTCCAAAGCCTTCTTTTTGATTTTTATAAAACTGCAGTCAAAGCTTGAATTCTGCTTCAGATTCTGAATTCTTCCATTTCAAAAGGGGCTGCAGTCTAAGCTTGAATTCTGCTTCAGATTCTGAATTCTTCCATTTCAAAAGGGCTGCAGTCAAAGCTTGAATTCTGCTTCAGATTCTGAATTCTTCCATTTCAAAGGGCTGCAGTCTAAGCTTGAATTCTGCTTCAGATTCTGAATTCTTCCATTTCAAAAGGGGCTGCAGTCAAAGCTTGAATTCTGCTTCAGATTCTGAATTCTTCCATTTCAAAAGGGGCTGCAGTCAAAGCTTGAATTCTGCTTCAGATTCTGAATTCTTCCATTTCAAAAGGGGCTGCAGTCAAAGCTTGAATTCTGCTTCAGATTCTGAATTCTTCCATTTCAAAAGGGCTGCAGTCAAAGCTTGAATTCTGCTTCAGATTCTGAATTCTTCCATTTCAAAAGGCTGCAGTCTAAGCTTGAATTCTGCTTCAGATTCTGAATTCTTCCATTTCAAAAGGGGCTGCAGTCAAAGCTTGAATTCTTCAGATTCTGAATTCCACCATTTCAAAAGGGGCTTCAAAACTGTTCCAAGTAATCTGATAATGAATATAACCGTTACCTCCAAAGTTATTATCCAATAGTCCAAATGGTAAATAATGTAAGTAGTTTTACTTTCATGTCCTATATTTTTCCCTTGAGTAAGGTTTAAGTGTCTTTCCAGCTTTCTCTCAATTTACTGAAACAGTAAAATCCAATTTAACAAGTATTTTTTTTTGTTTCAGTCAGATATGTGCCATGCATGATACACACTTCGGCAATTGTATCTTTTGATACATGACTGATGAGGCAGATATTTTCCCACAGTAGGTTTCTTTCTGCAGTCAACCAGTTGCTATCCAAGGCTATAGGACCCAGTCGATCCTGCTATTTCCCCATAGCTGGCAGAGAAGAAGATTCATACCTTTCCCAAGGGTATTAGCATGTAAGTGAATATAATGGATTTGACTGTAATTCGAACTCAGCTATCCGATTCCTCAATCTGAGCCACTATCCAATATTCCACAGTGCCTCCCTTTTTTTTGTTTATGAAATTTAAATTTGGTATAATTTGGAATAGCAAGTTAATTTTCAAAATCTCAGAATTTTGCACTTTATTTTCCATGAAATCCTGATTTGTTCCAATACTTGTAATTTGCAAGATCAAATTTCACTATCATTATCAATATTTTGTCTGAAAAATAATTGTTTTATAAAGGACATATGGGAATCATGATCACAAGTCCCATAACCCATTAGGGTCATAGGAGGTAACATATGTACTGTAGCCCTAGCAACAGTGGTGCATCTTCAGCAAGATGGGCTGATTTTTCTTCTTCTAGGCTATTGGGCCCTGCTATTTTGCAATATCTGGGAGAAGAGATGAATTCATACCTTTCTGAGAGTATTCACATCTTGGGTTTTTCCTCTTACTTGCAATACAAACCTTGTCATATCAGTATTATCAAAAATGGATTACTTCGAGTCAACACATTTCATAACCTCAAATTATTACAATAAATTTCCCTGAAAAATAATTGATATACCAGCTCTCCATACCTGCCAGATAAAAACCGATTCTTTATCTTCCAAAGGGCAGAAATAAAGCCCAAACATTCCTGTTAAAAATATAGAAATACCTTTCCAAATGATTTAGCACACCAAAGTATATCAGTTGCAAGAGTCAGGATTGAACTTACACTAAACAGAACAGCTACTACCACCACTTGTAGCTTTTTTTTTGAATTTACATTTTTCTTTCAAATTCTTAACACTTCTCCCTCCAGCCAAGGTATCATGAAAACAAGATACTGACAATGTCATAAAATATATCCTATGATTCAGAGAGATGCTATTTTGAATAACAGAAAATTGGATAAAGACTTACAGCTGATTCTTGATTATTTGCCTTCTTGAGCAATTCTAAGCAGTGTTCATAGTCTCGTCCTAAATCACCAGCATTCACTAAAGTTTCCTGCAAACAAAAATAAGAAAACAATAGAAACACATGATTTTTTTAATGCCAAGACAGTGTAGAGAGGCAATGTACAAGATATTTTTTAAATGAATAAAACATCTAAATTTGATTCAATTTATCATAAGAGAGACTTGCTAAACTGAGCAGAATTACAGGAGACAAAAAAAAAAAAAAAAGTTTTTTTTTTTTTTTAAATCATTCTACTAAATACTTAAATGTTTGTATACACAATCACCAGAAATGGAAGAAATAATCAAAAAGAAAAAAAAAAAAAAAAAAAAAAAAAAAAAAAAAAAAAGAAAAAGAAAAAAAGAAAAGAAAAAAAAAAAAAAAAAAAAAAAAAAAAAAAAAAAAAGAAAAAAAAAAAAAAAAAAAAAAAAAAAAAAAAAAAAAAAAAAAAAAAAAAAAGAAAAAAAAAGAAAAAAAAAAAAAAAAAAAAAAAAAAAAAAAAAAAAAAAAAAAAAAAAAAAAAAAAAAAAAAAAAAAAAAAAAAAAAAAAAAAAAAAAAAAAAAAAAAAAAAAAAAAAAAAAAAAAAAAAAAAAAAAAAAAAAAAAAAAAAAAAAAAAAGCTTGATTATTTTGAATTCAAAATAAACTTCAAACACAAATCATACAGTGAAAATGCTTTTCACTCTTGTTACTCAACTGTCACATGCAGCTGCACTAATGTGCCCTGAAAGGTAGCCAGGTGCATTGCAAATTCAGACAAGTAATTTAGGAATTATTTTAGATTTAAAAAAAAAAAAAAAAAAAAATTTTTTTTTAAAAAGCTAGAGATGCCAAGCATATGGCTTCCCTGTCTAAGTAAAGACTTTGTCATTTGATATTTTAAACTGGATGCTAATTTTAAATTTCATGACTAATTTTTCATTATTAAAATTTGAAGTGCACTCTATAATTTTAGTTATTCTACAAAATTGTTTTAAGAAAAAGATTTTATACATTTCAACTGGGAATAGTACTAGCTGTTAGGTCAGTGAATGCCAAATGTTTCCTTATAGGGAAATGTCTAACATTTCTATTACGTCGGTAGAACAAAACAGTCCTCATTGTTAATACAGAATTAATATTTACCAGCCTATTTTAGGTAATGGAAATATAAGATAGAAAAAATTCTATGTCACTAGTTTTAGCCTTGAAAAAGAACTTTAGATTAAATATTCTTATTGATGGAATAAAATGAGTAAAAGGGAGATATGAATGTAAATGTTGGTTATAAATATATACAGAGGGGCAAATGCTGAAGATGTAGGAAAGCTAACTTTTTAAAGATTTCTAGCAAACAATGTCTAGACATACATCTCATTTGGTTTCCAAACACTTGTTTTTATTGCTGCTTTTAAATACCCAACATCCTGACAATAGAAGATTTAAGAGATACAGTGTAACCCGGATATAAGAGACCCGGATATAAGAGAGATTTTCTTTGGTCCCAAATTAGAGCCTGTGTTAATGTATATAAAATAGACCACACCCGGATATAAGAGAAACCCGGATATAAGAGACTTCTTCTCCAGTCCCAGCAACTCTCTTATATCCGGGTTACACTGTAATAAATTTTAATTATATAAGCTTTTTTTTTTATTATTTATTTTAAAAGAAAAATTATGGTCAGATTCATTATGCTGAATGACAAAAAAAAAATGACATTTACAACATCAATATTTAATTTGCATAGCAATTTTTAAGAGAATATTTGAATAAATGCATTATTTTTAATTCAAATTTTAAAACTTGTCATATATAAGCAATGATAAAGTTTTTAATTCATCTTGTTTGCATAGAAAAAAATTTAAATCTACCATGTCAAAATTAAGTCCTATGTTACTGTGTACATCATAAGCATTGTCAATATCTATTTCACATTACTACTAATTGAATGGAATAGTAAAAATTATGAAGTTATCTAAAATGTCAAAATTCATTTAATTTTCTAAATTACCCAAATTATTCAAAAAAAAAAAAAAAAAAAAAAATTTGCCGAATTATTATTAATAATATAAGCATTAAAAAATTATTTGAATATTTTTCTCAGTCAGCTCTACATAGACATGTCCAGAGTAGGAAATTTAAATGAACTTAGTATAATGGCAAAGAAAAACTTTAGAAAATAGATGTCTTTCTGAAAATGTTTATTCAGAAATTTTAGAAAGATAAGAGAACATCACAACTTTTCTTTGTTCATAGATAAAGTATTTGGCTAGTGAAAAAAAAAATAGTTATAAATAAATTGGGACATAGAAAAATGAAAAAGGAGTATGAGAAAAAAAAAAAATTCTACCTTTTCTCTCATCCAGGCATTGACTTTTTCAATTTGTTCATAGAAATTCAAAAGATCACGTGCAACTTCAAGTCCCTTGCCTCGATTTTCAGCTGCCTGCAGAAGATGGGTCCACTTTGATGTCAAGGAGTTGATAGACTTTTTAATTTCTTCAGATTTAGGATAGTTTTTCTTGACCAGGTAGAGACCATTCTGAAAGAGAAAAAAAAAAATTAAATATTTAAAGTATTTGATTCTTACTATATGTTTTGTTAAATTTCAGCAACAATAATTTTATGTTATTCAGCTTGAAAGTACTCAGCACCAATCCATAATAGCATCAAACTGAAGAGTCTAATAGTAGCCTAAAAAGGACATCCTGTAGAACAAACATTTGCTTGACTTGCATTTTTTTCTTATATATATATATATATATATATATATATATATATATTAAAGACATTTTTTTTTTTTGTTTTAACGTTGTTATTTATAGATACAAGTATTTAAGCAAATGCTCTGTTTATGATAAACAGTATTAAATAACATTTACCGGCCTGAATGTCCGAGAAATTTTCATAGAAAATATTCGTTCTTTGACAGGATTCGAACCTGCATCCTATACGGAACCGTCATATACGCTGACATGTCTTTAATAAATAAATTGTCGGGACCTTGTCCATTTCTTAATATATGACGTCATTTGTTTACATTTGATACGCCAGAGCAGTTATGAATGTACGAGATTCATGGAAGATTGGAGTTTATAAGCAGTAAATTCGACCTTGTCTACCGAACGGTTCTTTGTGGCCGAGCGGTCAAGGCACGTCAGCGTATATGACGGTTCCAGATAGGATGCAGGTTCAATCCTGTCAAAGAACCAATATTTTCTATGAAAATTTCTTGGACATTCAGGCCGGTAAATGTTATTTAATACTGTTTATCATAAACATAGCATTTGCTTAAATACTTGTATCTATAAATAACAACGTTAAACATAAAAAAAAAAATGTCTTTAATAAATAAATTGTCGGACCTTGTCCATTTCTTAATATATATATATATATATATATATATATATATATATATAATTGGCAGAGGGACTATTCATACACCATGAAATTTTTTAATTAACGTTATAACTTAAGAAAAAAAAAAATTAAAATCCATATAATATTTCTACACCACTGCATGTATGCAAGGATGTAGAAATATTGAAAAAAAAAAAAAAAAATTGTTATAAATGAAATTGCATATTATTTATAAAATTTCAAGGCAAAAAAATATTTGTACAAATATGTCTTTAATATCAAAAGGCTTAAATTACCTTTATTTACATAATTCTTTGTAAGATTTTGCTAGATTCTTCCAATTATCTTATTACCTGAACAATCTAGAATATTCTGCAATTCATTTCTTATATAAGGTTATCTCTGCACACAAATCATACACAATAATTATAAGGAAAAGCAAGGAACTATCAATTTCACAAAAAGAATTGATCATCAAACATTAGAAGGAAGGCAAAAGCTATAGGAAAAATAACATATCCTGAATATACCATTTACTACTATTAGTTCTGTTATTGCTAAGTATAAAAAGGTGAAAACTGTTGAGAACAAATCAAGATCTGGTGCACCATGCAAGATTTCTCCCAGATCAATGAGAAGAATTCAGTGCAAAATTCAAGAAAATCCAATGACTACACAGAGAAATACAGGAAGAATTAAAAGCATCAGGTGTTATTGTTACAAAGCAACAATAAGCAATAAACCTTATAGAAATCAACTAAGACGACGTTCTCCAAGAAAAACTATGCTACTATTGAAGAAACATAAGGATGGTTAAAATTTGTTAAATTTTAAAAGATGGTTAAAATTTATGAGCATAAGAATAAACCTGAATCATTTTGGGAAAGGCTTTTATGGACAGATGAAGCAAAAACTGAACTATTTGGGCATAATTCAAGGATTCCTGTTTGGAGAAAAGGGCAGGGCAGCACAGCCATTGCACCAAAGAATACAATCCCAACGATGAAATTTGGTGGTGGCAATATCATGGTTTGGGGATGTTTTTTCTGCTAATGGTACAGGTAATTTAAAGATAATAGTTGGTAGAATGAATTCAGAAATACCAAGATGTTTTGGACTAATTTGTTTGGGTCAATAGCAAAGCTTGGACTCCCAAATGAATGGGTTTTGCAACAAGATAATGACCCTAAACATATGGTTATATCTATGAAAAATGGTTTATTGAAAACAATGTTAATATATTTGAATGGTCATGACAGTCTCCAGACTTGAATCTAATAGAGAATTTGTGGCATTTACTAAAAATTCAAGTTAATAAAAGAGCTCAAGAAACATCCTGGACCTAAAGAGAATATGCAAAAAAGAATGGAGTAAAATACCAATGGGAACTTGCAAATCATTGATTGAAAAGCTACAGAAGGAGACTGATTGCTGTTGAATTGAGTAAGGGATATGCTACAAAATATTAAATAGCTATTATAATTTTGTATATATACTTTTTTCATCTCTGAATTTTTTTAATTTCATATAACTTCATTATGTCAATTTTTTCTGAATTTTTTGGCATACTGAAACATTATACCATATTGTATGGGTTATTAAATTCTTTTATAAAATCTATGTTAAATAAAAATATTCATGGTGTACAAATATTTCTTTACCCCTGCTGTGTGTGTGTGTGTATTTTTTTCTCTTGATTTTAATTTTGGAGATCAGCGCTTCTGAAGCTGAGAATACAATGGACTGGACGTATAAGCACTGATGAAGTTTTAGAGCAAATTGAAACAAAACGGACACATTTAAGATGAGTAAGAGTTGAAATTTCTAGAGCACGCAATGAGCAAAGATGGCTTGGAAAATTTGAAACTGACATAACATAGCAAATGTAAGTGAGACAAAGTAAGACAATGCATAACCTACTTACAGAGCTTGCATAAATGGATGTAAGGACAAGATGTAGGGGAGATAACAAATAGACAATTTACTAAGAATTTTAAAAGGACAGGAAATTATGAATTGCCATGATTGCCAACATCCTGAAAGGATATGGCCCATAGAAGTAATATCATTTTTACCTGTTATTTTTCTTCCTCTTACAGTTGAAGAATTTTGTCAATTACACTTAATTATGGCCAATTACTCCACATATTCTGTTATCTGGAATTTTGAATTATCCAAACATTGTCAACTCCTGCCCCAAAGGGTCTGGATAATTGAGGAAATATTGTAATGCACACTGTAAAACCCAGTATTTAAAGTTTCTCCCTATAATCCATTAATGTCAAGGTCTTATTTTTGGGGGGGGGCGATGGGTTAATATGCAAGATATCCTTAAGGCCATTTCTAATGTGAATTTAAAAGAAATATACATGACTTAACCAGCCTCTGAAAATCTTTTATTGGATCCAGATTCTTCAGATCTTTGCCATTCCTGTGGAGGAATGAGCTATTACCCTACCACACTAGCTTAATGTGTGTTAGTAGGAGCTTACAGCACCTGACATTACACAATGACCACCCATCTAGAAACTGGCCAGGCTCAACATTGCTTAACTCAAGCGATCAGACCAGAACAGGAAATATGAATTTTAATTGCCAGTGAATGCATTAATAGTATATAATTTTGAGTATTCAGTAAATATTGATGTTAAGTTCTATTCTGTGGACAATAGTTGTTACCCCATATAGGGATTGAACTTATAAAACCTAATGTTTTGTTGGATTAACCCAATGATTCTCAACCACTATGCTGTGGCACACTAGAGTGCCATGTGATCCTCTTATATGTTCCATAAAACATTCACAAAATTGTGAGAGGACACAAGGCACAGGTTTCACATGAAATATGCTGCACAAATAGTTGGACAGAAACATTGAAACGAAGTAAGTTCATATTTGTGAATGTAGTTTTTAAAAATCTATGGCTTTAATTCATAACATTTATAAAGTTTTACTAAGTGTATCATGAAATTTTCATTTGTTCCTAGGTGTGCCATTGCTTATAAATGTTGAGAAACCCTGGATTAACCAGTCTCCCTTGCTGGTTCAGGCCAAGTAGCTCAATTTAAGGTATCTCTTTTTCTCTAGATGATAGGACTTTCAGTTGCCAGGTGAATTCTTGTCAGAGTAATTCAGGAATGAACAAACTTTTTTCTCCCTAGATAATAGCATTAAAATAGTTTTATAGTTAACATACCGTTTTTGTCCGTTCAATGCGATCAGTGTTGGCCATAATTTCTGAATTGAAAGCTTGATGTTTCTGTAGTTTCTTCATCTTTGCATTCAGGTCAACACCACCATCAAACTCATCTTCAGCTGTTACTTTCAGTTTATCATCAATCCAACCTTCAATCTGAAGGAGTAGAAACGGAATGTTTGGTGAATAAGGAAACCATTAAAATCGACAAAGATAAATTGGGTAATGAGGGGTGGGGATGTATACTGACCTCTGCTTGGTCTCTTCTGAACTGAGAATACAACAAAGAATCTTCCAAGTTTTGAGTCCTCTGTGCACATTGTGTTTTGATCTTCTGCCGTCTTAAAAGAAAAAAAAATGGTCAAGTAGTATTACTGACCCACTGTATCCAATAGGGAATATAAAAAAAATGCAAATTTATTAAATCTCAAACATTCATTACACTATCTACAAGCAGACTATTGTTGCCTGTTGTTTATCCTTCATATAGCTTCAGTTTCAATAAGTTGTTTATATTTATTTTGTAAAAGTAAAAAATTATGGCACAAGGCCGAAAAAGGGGAGGGGTAACAACTGGTTTTTACTAACTATCTTATACCTAGCTAATCTGATTCACAACTTCAGTTTCAAGAAGTTGTTAGAGTACTGTCAAGCAGCTATAAAAACAGGACACTTCCTGTCTTCATTCTCTTTTCCTCCCAACATCTTGGAGTGACAATGCCAGCCAGGACCTTGTCCCCAGTCATCTTTCACTTTAGTAACTAAATGCATGCATACATGAATATCAATTACATAATTCCTAACTTGTAATATCTTCTTTTTTGCTTACATACTGCATATGTAAAAACGAAAATATAAAATATTCATTCCATTTCCTTACACCAGTCATTTATACATGTGCAAAATATTGTTGCCATTGCTTTTAGTCTAACTAGAAGTAGTGGTTTCAAAACTGGTGACCACAATGAAATTTCAGTATCCAACATGCCTCACAACACAAATTTACAAGCAGACTATGTCACCAAATTCATGAACCAATGCTTTGAACAGCACACACAGCCAAATGTAGTACAGGCTTCTTAGTGCTATCATTTGTGAGCAGTACTTTTTCTGAGTGTGCAAATAGAAGTAAATGTCTAATTTGAAGGAGATGGTGAAAACTAGACAGTAGCATTTTTATTTATTTTGCATTGTCAAATTCCAACATTTTTGAAGAACACTCACATACACACTTTCAACAAAGCATGTAGTTCTTACCTACCTGCTTTCTTATTTTAATTCACTTCTGATGATTAAATACAGACAGAAAAATTAAGATAACCAGGTGTAATGTGTAATATATACCTGAGTGTTTTGCAGGATATAAGATGCCTCCGGTAATAAAAAATAAATTAGGCAAGATGCCTTAAATAAAGAACTCGGAGTCAAGTGAAGTCTATTGGAGGCAATTGAGGAGAATTTCTAATGACATCATGATAAGTAGCGTAAGTGAAAAATACTATTATAACTACTAGGCATTGAGTTATAACACTGAAGAAGGTTAGAAAACTGACCTGTCAAAATTTACTGACTGAAAAAGTTGAGGGGGGGGAGCAAACTTGAATGATTCCTCAAATAAAAAAACAAGGAAACACTAACTTTTTAATGACATTTTCCATCTGTTCCTGAACATCAGCAGAACCAAAATGTCTGTTTTTAACAAGTTCATTTCCTTGAACTTTGACAAACTCCAGCTGAAAAAAATAAAAATCAAGATTAGAGGTCCTCAAGAACAGTACAAACAGCAGCAATCAACCAACTAATTTTACTTTGCATTGACAAAACTATTTTACTTCAAGTTGTACATTTTTTCTAATAAAAAAAAAAAAAAAAAAAAAAAAAAAAAACATGAAAATCAATGTGACAGTATTTTTAACAGACAATCAGATTCTTTTTATTTATGGTCTTGTGAACCACCATACTCCTTAGGAAAGTATCTGCCTATATTTCTGAGATGAGGTATTATGTACACTATTTACATTATTCAGACTACTGTCCTCATCTTTGTCACCATATTTATTACAACATTTCAGCCGTTGTATGCTCCGGCCTTCTTGGGAAAGATGGTGAAGTTGTTTTCTATTGTTTTCTCTAAGGTTTTGAACTCAGAGTTGCCCTTGACTGGATACCAGTTAAGGCTAGAAATTCCAGTCTACCCTGCTATTTAACCCATAACCAGGAAGAGGAAATATGGACTCATGCCTTTCCCAAAGGCATTAGTGTAAAGTGAATGCAACTGACTAAGATGGAACTTGAACTCATCTTGCTTACTCAATTTTCCAAAATGATAACTATGATACTACCAGCACATCCACAATGCATCATCAGTGAGGATAAAAAAATAAACATTATTTTGGATGGGGTTCAAAATACTAACAGTTTTATTATTGTCCGTCTTGAAATATCTTACAACATCCCACTTTCACCAAGAAACATTGCAACATCCCACTAAGGACATAAAAATGTTCTTGAACACTATTCAAGAATATCATTGAAAACTTGCTTCATAAATAATATCTTATCCTTTTTGTTGAGATCAAAGGGAGGTTAAGACACCACCCAACAAAAAAAATTAAATTAAAAAAAATAAATTAAAAAAAAATAGAAGGAAAAAACATACCTTTTCTTCTTGTGCATTAACCACCTTTGCAAATGCAGTGTGCTTTCGGATCAATGCCTCTACTTGTTCAACTGTTAGTCCAAAATCTGTACTATTGAGGTAAGCCTAGGTAAAATAGAATCAATATAATTACAAATTCAAATATACAATATAGCATATTGGCACTTTATGAAATATAAATAAATATTGAAGTATATATTTGGATTGGTGACATAGATTAAAATGAAATTTTAGGAAAGTACATATTAGTAGCTTGCTGGTATCTGTATGTACTTAAACTATGTGGCCTTTATCACTTAATAATAATATTAATAGAAAAAAAATCACATGCATGTCAGTTAACAAATAACTATAAACTTTTATCGACTATAGTAAATCATTCATAAAGTATTATAAATATAATAACCATATTCTGTTAGTAACACCTACATTAATTCTTGACCACAGACAATCCCTTTTATGATTTTGCTTGTCAGTATGAATAAAGGAGATGATTTTTGAGAAACAAATTTGAAGAATTGGGGAAATTCTTTACCCTCCCCCACCATAGGTAATGGTACCTTTTACAAACTAAATGATCTAAGATAAAAAACTAAAATAAATTTGTCTTAGCTGTCAAATATGAAGGGTGGATAGATAACTTAATAACTGAGAAGGGGGTTATACAACATGTGGAGTTTTCTAATTAATCATTTAATAGTACAATAAATAAATAACTTTAGTCCAACAAAGTTCTTGAGAACAACATTACACAGAATTTTTTTCCACTTTGTCAATCATTTGTCTATCACACACACACATACATCTCTATCACCTTAAAGGCTGCACATCAGAAAGCTCTCAAAGGGAAAATATATTGTTTTGCATTTTCAGAAAAATGCTTCAATCCTATATTGATGACCAATTTGAGGTCAACCACAATATCTGTTTGAAGTCACTTAAATTACAACTATCAAAGGCAATATTAGGTCTGGTATTAGCCTAAGAGAAGTAAAAGACTTACCACCCCCTAACACATTACATATGCAGATGACCTTGTGTTAATGGTAAATTCAGAAAGGGTAATAGAGGAAATCAAGAAGAAAGGACTAACTATTAATTGTAAAAAGTCAATGCAGGGCTGTCAGCAAAAAAGACAGCCCAAGGTATGAGCTATGTATAGGTGATATCAAAATTAAGGTGGATGGATGGATGTTGGATTTAACAGCATGTCAACTCCTATTTAAAATTAAGGTGGTGCAGAAATTTAACAATCTAGTAATGTAATATAGTGACAGATGACAAAATATGACAGAAAGGTGTATGACATAAACAAAGAGGTAGAAAAAATATCCCTGAAATGGAAGAGAAAAAAAAAGAAAAAATGAAATGCTAAATAATATATAATCTTCTATTATAATTCTGCTTATTTCTCACTTAGTTGCATTATGCCCAGTAGCATGCAGAAGTTGGGGGCAGAGAATGCAACAGACCTGGGAACCCATATCATGAGGGCATCCAATCAAAGAGTAAAATAAAAATTTAATTTAAATTTAATTCATAGAAAATGTTTATTTCATTTAATATGTAAAATTTAAAATAGCTTCCTTTCTCACATTTCTCAGTACAGTGTAACCCGGATATAAGAGAGATTTTCTCTGGTCCCAAATTAGAGCCTGCGTTAATGTATATATATATATATAAGAGAAACCCGGATATAAGAGATATTTCTCTGGTCCCAACAACTCTCTTATATCCGGGTTACACTATATATATATATATATATATATATATACTAGGCTGCAGGAGTTGGCCCCAGGGATCACCAAAGCTCTGCATATCACTGGTTGTGCCCTGCCAATACCTCATAAATAATGGACTATTTCATTTTGGTCATGTGAAAAGATAGATAAAAAAATTCAAGCAGCAAAGTAGTGCAGTTTTCAAGGGTACTACTAGTTGCAGTGTGATTGAACATGTGAGAAATAAGGAAGGCTTGGAGAATTTAACACTCACAGGATAAGCAGAGGGAAACTGCAGTTAACAAGTTTGAGTGAATGTATATCAAGACAAAAGGGTCAGTAGTAAATGGGCAAGAATTACATTGGGTAACAAAAGGCAGGAAGTTGTGGAGAGCTATAAAATTTCCTGAAAGGAGAAGGTAGATATAAAAAGAACATTTGGAGCTAGCCAATTTAGTAGATCTATCAAAGATATTTCCTTTAGTTACTGTAATTTGTATTTGTCCTAAAATATTTACATGTGCAGGAAATTTCTATCAAGGTAATATTTATGGAACAAAAGTATTTTATATTTGGTCAAAGAATTAAGCATTTTTCTTTCATATTTAGACATTTCAGATACTACAGTTTCAGAAAAGTTTTCTGAGAAAAAAAAAATGCATAGTTACCTCTTGTGATGAGGATATACGATTCAATTGATTGACATCTCTCAGGAAATTGTGGAGTTTGTGTAACTGATCCAGTTCCACTTTGCGTTTATTCCAAAGAGTTTTCAGTGTCTCTTGCATGAGCAAAACTTGGTCAACTTTATCTTGAATCTTAAAAGGAAAAAAAATTTTATATTTACATAAAAGTTTCATTAAAAATGACTGACAAGGTATTGCGGTTAATTATTTTATTTTTATTTCTGACATATTCTTATAATTTTCTTCTTTTCTGCCGCACATAAATTATGTATAAATTGTCCAAATGTGCTGTATGTCTGAGCTCTTTTGGTTAAACTTTTAGCTATTATTAAGGATGATTTTATTTTTACATTTAACTGAATGTATGGATTATCTTATGCATGTATCTAGAATTATAGGAATGTTATAGTTTTCAAACATGGTCAGTATATTGTGGCTATGCTCATACCTTGTCAGTCATTTTTAATGAAACTTGTATAAGAGGGATTGCTGCCCACACACATGTGTGTGATATAAGTGTTGTAACCTAGGGAAGGTTACTGAATAGAATAATCAAACAAAGGTTGGTAATGAATGATAATACTTAAGACACGAACAACACATATAAGATTCGCCAGCAGCGCGTAGAAGTGGTAGTCAGCTGCTAGAAGCGAGGCAAATGAGTTCCAAAATAATTCTAACTGCAGGATATCTACCAACTACCCCATGCAGTCAGATGTGGCACAAAGCCAAATTTAATGTGGGGTATCCGAGCCTCTAGGTTCAGCCAAATATTCCACATAGATCCCATATAAAATGGGAGACGAGACTGACCTTTGACTGGAGGATCCACTCTGCTTGGAGGCAGAGAGTTTGACCAGCACAGCTGGAGCTGAGTCTAACTGCAGACCAACTTACAGTATTTACTACTCTAAATATGTGAATGAGGACATACCCATTATTGTCTGCAACAATATATGTTTGTGTGTGTGTGTGTGTAAAAATTCAGATATCACTAAAAATAAGTCAGAAAAAAAAAAAAAACTATGAATAAAGACAAAAGGAAAGTTTCTTAGCTGATACATTTTGCCCTCTGATGGACTTTATCAAGGTAAGTGTAAAGTGCTCGATGAATTAAACCAAAAACACCAGATTTTCTACCATAAATTGGTTGATTTCATGACATATCAACTATTGGGTTATTTTATGTCGATTTTTTTTTTTTTTTTGTAGGGTACCCATTAAGATTGAACTTGCCTTGCTAACCATATTGGGGTGTTTTCTGATGCAGTTGATTATACGGAAAATTAAAAATCAAAAGAATAACTGCAAATATTGACAATACATAAAATGCCACAAGATACACAGAAATGTCCAAATCCAAACCTAATTCCACTCTTATTGGAAGAATCTCTCCCAGATTGACCATATCTTCAGGGGTATAGCCATACTCACCACTCTTTGCCAAATTGCAGCTTGGTGAGGTTATACAACACATAACTGGAGTGAATAGCCATTGACACTGAAGAATTAATCTGCCCTTTAACAACTATTAGGTTGGTGCAAAAATAATGACGTAATAATGTCGTTTTTTGAGGTTAAAAATATGTCAAAGAACGACATTATTACGTCATTATTTTTGCACCAACCTAATAATTTTGTTTCTGTGTTGCTGGCGTTTCTCTTCCCTTCCTAACCAAAACAGTGTCTGGTAGGGTAGTCTGTTTAGTTGCAGACAATTCAGATTTTGAATTCAGAGTGGACCTTCTCTTACATTAGTTGCCATCCAAGGCTATAAGAGACAGTCTTTCCTGCTAATTACTCATAGGTGGGAGGGGGTGGAGATGGCTTCATACCTTTCCTAAAAGTATTTATAAGTGAATATAACAAACTCAACTGGAATTCAAACTTGGCTCTCCAATTCCTCAATCCGAGCCACTATCCATTACTCCACAGTACCTCCATGAATATCACATGGCTGTAATTGTGTAGATATCTGTTTGATAGATTGTTGTCAGACAACAGTATGAATTCAGAATCATATCAAACATCAAAGAAAAGCACAAATTATAACACTGACAATCACAGTGTTAGACACTGACCAGTGTCAGCTACAGAGTATCTTCATGAATTTATGTTTTAACAACTGAGTTGAGCATTCCTTTCCCATTCATGCTAAGCTGTAAATTCTTATTGTAGCCATACACCTATTGTTACAGAATGAAGAAAAATGTTTACCTCATTTTTGGCATAGTGATTGTTCTCTACCATCCGAGTTCCTGCATCAGCAACTTGCAAAAAAGTGCTTTGGCGAGCTTCAATTTCAGCTTTGAGTTCTTGGTGACGGTTTTCCAAGATGAGCAATGACTGCAGGTCTCTCACCTGCACCTCTGAAGTCATTTCACGCTTCATTTCATTGGCAGCACTTAGTAACTCTCGAACCTGTAAAGAAATAAATGTAATGCCATTAAGATTGCCTTTGAGAGGACAATAAAGAAGGAAACCTGGTTCCAGAAAATGCAGATTGTGTATAAAGGAAAAATTGAAAATTGTTACCTTTCCTGAACAAGACCACTACTTCAAAATAACAGCTTGCTTTGTAAGTGTAGGAATGAGAAGTACTACTAATGTCAGTTAGGTCTTGACTAAATGGAAAGGGGAAAAAATGTTCAATTTGATAGGCAGTGACCGTGACAAATACTGCAACCACATTAAGAATGGTGAAGTTAGTCATAGTCAGTGCCTACAAATTGTTCAACTGTTTTCACTATTCTTTTTTTCAGCATCTAAAAACTGATTTTTTGAAACTTACAGTAATGCTTAGGAGCTTGTGAAGACCAGGATTTATAACCAATTTCAAAAAAGTGATATTAAAAACATTGGTCTATATTATAGCGTGTGTGTATGCACATATGCATGCAAATATACAGCACCAAGTTTGTAACTGCTGCAATAACTTTCATCAGTCTGAATGTCGTCAGAGAATTTCATGGCATAAGAAACTCCAGGATCAAAGGTGGGTGGTTATTTTATGACATAAACCTTGTTGGGTTATTTAATGTTGAAATCTGTATTGTTTTTTTTTAAATTTGAATTTATTGGCATGCATTTATTCTATTTTTTTTAGGGGAGGATTCTTGAGGTCAAGAGTAAGTAAGTTTAACACTGAATAGTCTGAAGTACCCAAGAGAGATAATACTTCAGCAGAACATTTTTTATGGGTGGATGTGAGGAAGAAGTCTAAAAGGTTTGCATGATGTCCTGGTATACCAAGAACACAAGTAGACTTATCGACAATCTGTATCAGTTCAAAAGCAATGGAAAAGTCTTGGCAGTATCTGCCTTCTTCATCTTTTCTATTTTAGTAAACTCACCAGTCTTTGTGGTGAATATTAAAGTCACCACAAATATAAATGCTAGCTGAGGGGATGTTCAGAGAGGATATCATCTCAGCTATTTTGTCAATCATTACAGTTCCATGGATAATAGACAAGGAAAATGAAGGAGGTGTATGATGAACAAGGGCCATAGGAAATCAGAGTCCTCATTTTTGGAGTCTCTGCCACATGTGAACTTGCCCTTTGTAAAGGTGCTGAGTCCATAGCAATTTTAAGGTCAGGTTTCACTGTTAGGGGAGAGTAGTGTAGGATTGTGAGTTCATGCACTGTGACAGATCAATATTATTTTTTAACAGGGACAAGAAGTTAGTTTTAATGTCATTTAGAGATAAGCATTGGTCATTTATATTGGAGTCTTTTCCAAGGAATTACTTGGTTACTTTAGCAACATATCAACCTCTATGGGTTATTTAATGGTGAAATCTAAATATTTTGTATGCATTTTTAAAAAATGTATTTGAAGATAACGGTGTCAGGGATTCAAGTTTTACTTATTCCTCCCATAGCTGTAGGTACAGAAGAGGTGAATTCATACATTTCCCAAAGGTATTTGTGCATCAGTGAATATAATGAACCCAACTGGAATTGAAACTCTTCAATTAACAACTGAGTCATTATCCATTACAACACCAGCACATCCAAGTATTCTCAAACAGTTACTCATCTAGCTACTAACCAGGCTTAACTTTGGTGATTGCATAGCAACCAGTGTTTCAATGTGAAGTGGCCATAAGCTTATTTATAAGCTGACATAATTACTATAAGCAATAAAGTGTGATTAAAAATTCATTAAGTCCCTAAAAATTATTTTATTTTCATATCCAAAATGTAAACCAAGTTAGCATATAAAGTCTCAAGAGATTTATATTTAAAAATGGTAAGTGAGATTGTTTTGCCATAAAGTCTTTCGTAGTTGAATAGGCTGAAGCACACGTGGCTTATTTTTCTGAACATGCAATAAGGGTTTACACAAAAAAATAAACTACTCACTGAAGCTTGGAAGCGATGGTAATCTTCAGCGGCAAGCAATCTTTCCTTACGATCTTCAACCATTCTTTGAAGTTCACTCCAATTTTCAATAACATCCTCTCGAGACATAGCAATCTTATCTCTTAATTCACCAGATGGATATTCCTTAAGCAGTTGAGCAGTGTCATCCATGAGAACTTGTAACTGAAACAGAAAATAAGCAAAGTGTGAATCAAAAGGCATTGCATATTTGAGGATATTGAGATATATTTTAAAAATATGTCATTTATTTTGATTTGAAGATTTAGTTTAGCTATTAGGAGATGTAAAAATCCAAATTGGACATCCTTTCTAATTCTTGGAAATTAGAAAAAGAAATTTATATTTTAATATTACACAAGATAAATAATAAAAACTTTTGAATTTTCTATTAACCATTTATGAATTAACAATCTGAAGATTATATATTAATATTTATGTACCTTCCTATGAAAGGTAGGTATCAAAGTTAAAAAAAAAAAAAAAAAAATTAAAACTTCATTCACTTTCAAAGACAAATTTGCTAAAGGAGTAATAAAACTCAAGGCATATTTCCTTTCTCCTATATATATATATATATATATATATAATAAATAAGATGTATTTTAGCATATACTTATAATTAGACACTGTTTATTAAACAATATATTTATTTTGTCTATTGGCTGGAATATTCAAAAAATCTTAAAGAACAAAAATAAGTAGTTTCTGGCATGGGTATCCACAAAAAAAAAAAAATTTAAATAATGAAATCTACCAGATTAATAAATGAAAAGTCATCATATATATATATATATATATATATATATATATATATATATATGTGTGTGTGTGTGTGTGTGTGTAACACTTATTGCACATACTGATCCTTAGCAGAAATACTGACCTCCATGTAAATAATCCCATCATTTTTTTTTTTTTTTTTTTGCGGTCGAGTGGGGTACTGCACTTGTTTAATTTCCTTAAAGACATTACTTTAGAGAAGAGAGGCTTTGCCATTCTTTACACTGACAAACTGTATTTTTTTACTATTACCCAAGTCAAGTTTCTGATTACAGGTAAAACAAAGTTTTCAATGAATAAACACAAGGTCTGATCAAAAAACAAGTGTTATGGTAACAGAGCTAAAGTACATAGGGTGAACTGACCTTGGATTTAGTTGTGCATACACACTAACATTTTTGCTCATTTTTCTTTATAGCAATGCTTGAAAAGAAAGTGTGTAGAATGTGGTTGTTTCTCAACACTTCAGAGGACCCATTAGTGACTATGGCTTGTGCAGCTGTTTTTGGTCAAGAACAACATCCTCCATGTTTGGCAATCACAATGTTTTCCAGATATTGCAAACCTAGAGACTTTCCTTTTCAAAAATCAAAATCCACTTGAAAGGAGCAAGATTTCAAGATGTTGAGGAAATTCAAGACAATGTGATGAGGTAGCTGCTCACTATCCCAAAATAGGAGTTCCAGAGATTTTTCCGTCACTGGGAGCAATACTGAGTAAACTGGCTTCAAAAAGGGTACGACTTCAAAAGGAAATTAAATGCCACATTGATGCGTGTTGAAGTTTTCTTTATCATAGCACCAATCTCAATACTTTCTGGTCTGACCTCATACATATTGCAGCATGCAATCCAAAACTTTGTTCAATACAAGTAAAATCATACTTATTATAAGATCCAGGTTGTGTGTGTGTGTGTGTACGTTTATATATTGGATCGAATTTCGTACATTTTTCAACCGATTTCAACAAAACTTTACAGGACTACATAAAATTATCTTGACAGTGCCAAAAATTGGAAAAACAGTTGTTTTTGCACAAAATCAATTTGAAAACACAATTAAGAGGCATTGCCGTTTCAAGAATGAAAGGGGGACAACTCATATCGAGTTATTATAAAACCCAGGTTGTTTTTGTGTGTGTGCGTGTTCGTTTATATATGGGATCGGAGTTCCTACATTTTTCAACAATTTTTTTTTTTTGGCAGGTTGTGTTTCTTATTGTCTTGCACACTTTTTTCTTTATTTTTACATTCAGAATGCTTTAAAAATTCCATTTACAAGACAACTGTTTATAATAAAATTGAAAAATTCTATTCAATGATGGTCGATACTTGATCTATCTCTTACTGTTACATCCCCGGGCAATGTCAGGCTCTACTGCTAGTCATTAATAAATGTACTAAGATCTGCATACATTGAGAGAAACCTCTGGCAGAGAAACTGAACAGATTGCGCAGCTAAGAAGCATTAAAGAATTTTCGGATCATCTCTTCATAAATGGTAATATTAAGTTTCCTTATAAGAAAATTAAATATTCAGCCAGTTCTACTCCTTTTAAAACAAATTTTAAAAAACAGGTTCTTAAGTCTACTTATCACTATTCCCAGTGTTAATGGAGGTTTCCTTCCTAACCTTTTATTTGAAGTAGTGTGGACTGTCAACATCTTGATTATCATTTTCTTTCAGTTACATGTGATAATGCATTTTAGTTGCTGCAGCTGTTGAAAGTCCTCAAGTGATGTTTGTTATTTT